GCTTATATACTGGTAATAAATCTATATTCACAAAAACCAGTCATATATACAAAATAAACATAATAAATTACTTTAAAATACGAAGAAGACATATACAGCATTACATATTTATAAGTCTTGTACACAAATTTTATTTTTTGGATCATTTATATAAAAATCCATATCCGCTTACAATTTCAACTATCGTTGGGTTCTATTTTATATATACCTCCTCTCCTAAAATTTAATATCTAAGCAATATTTAACAAATAAAAACAATTAAAAATATCTGTGGATTAAAAATAATGCATAATATAAACTAAAAATAATAATAATTTTTCATAAAACAAAAAGCTAGCTTTATTCTATTGTGGTAAAATATAATGATATTGGTTTAGGTTGAGATTGTACCGAATGAATATTAAATGGAATGAGAAACCATATAACTGACGAAGTCCAACTTTCCATCAGAGGAAAAAAACCATTAAAGAAAATTGAATTTTCATCATATTGAGATTTTTTTTTAAAGTAGAAGCAAAAAAACAATTAATTTTTGTAAATAAAATCTAGTCAATAATAAAATAACTCAAAATCAAAACATTTTATACTTATACAGTTTCACAATAGGACCGATGAAATATTTTTTTTTAAATTATTCATAATTTTGTGTGTCATAATTTTAACTAATTATTTTTATCTAATCTTTATAGCTAATAAATATGTATTACCATTGATAAATTAATTTCTAGCTTCAAATCACCAGTTATGAGTTGGTTCTTTAACATAAACTTAATTATTTAAGAAAATAACATTTTTTAAAATTCATGACTAGAATTAATGCAGTCAAGAATAATATTTTTAAAGCTATAACAGGCATGCAAGGGAATTTCTGAAAAAATTAAGCAGACTATTAATAGTAATATTGCTCCAGAGAAAACAAATCTTTCCTGGACAACTCAATTTCAAATTGAAAAAATACAAGACAATTCATTAATCAATCAGAAAAAAGTTTTGTAAAGATACAATGCTATCATAAATTTAAAGTCATTCAAGGAAAAAAATCAAACTTTTACTAAATAACCTTCCCTAATAATGTAACTGAATATTAGAAAAGCTTATAATAAAAACGATGGGATATATTATAATACATCTCCCAATTGATAATATCTTAAAATATTTAAAAATAATTTTATAATTATTTATATAGACTATTCAAATGAATCATATTTGTCAAACTCGCGTTGTCTCAAAATTTATAGATCAAAAACATAACAAATATGTGATAATCCTACAATCAACAAATAAATAGTGTAAAATATATACCATTATTAACACTAAGGATTAATTTACTTTGAAAAAAATACATACATTCAATATTACTTAATTTTTTTTACTTTGTTGTTATCATATTTTATGCAGAAGTGAAGCAAAAATTTAATGTTTTTATTATATTAGCACTACTCAAAGTTTTGGAAACCCAAGCAATAAAAACATTTTTTGCATTATATGTCTATCCTAACAAGCTAATGTATACCTAATAACTTATTTATTACACAGAAAAGTAAATGGAATTTCCATTTAAATGAATATATACAAAGGCTACTTGAAAAAAAAATTGAGAAATCAGTAAACTGCTCCTGAATATAATGCTGATATAGGAAATTGCGATACATCATACCATATTCAATAAACAGTTATCAATAATAAAATATAAAAATTTATGAAATTTATTTTGTGAACCTTATTATCACTATCACAAAGGAATTATATTACAGAATATAATAGCCAAGCAGTCATGTATTGATGAAATCATGCAAAAAACATAATTCTAAAGAATATTAAATTATCACAGACATTAAATTTATCAAACTTGGTTGTCATTTTTGTCACTTTATATTTACTAATATTAGTATTTAGACCATATGAAAAAGTAATTTATAAATAATTTCCAATAGCTATAAAAATGTTATTTGACATAATGAAAAAATGAAATTTTTACAAACCAATTTATTTTTAATCGATAAGAAAAAAGAATCAGATTGAGTTAAGTAAAATTTTTATAGTTCAAAACTGTTTCCAATTGCGAACAACTAAATTTGACCTTCGTGTCAATTTGACCTTCATGGAGCATTGATGCCACTCAAAAAAACAAAAATTTGACCTGATCAGGTAGGTTAACAGAATTATGAACTGAGAGACAAATTACTGAGGAAAACTGGACTTTGCGTCCTCATGGAAAATGAACTCCCTCAACTTTTGAATGAAAAAACTATTCATATTACAAAGATTTTGTAAACTTGACATACTTCCACCTCGGGAAGAAGAGAACTCCCGGGAGTCTGCTGGACTTGATGAAATCATGCAAGAACCTGATTTCAAGATATAAAGAGGTTTATTCAAACCAAAGAGCTGGCGGTATGGTATGTAGATAATTGACTATAGCTCTAATTTAAGGAGAAGCAGGATCGGGATGTAGTCAACAGATAAATATTGTAGGTTGTAGTAGTATTCATTTGGTTAGCCTATGCCTGTAGTCACCAGGAATAAAAGAACATTAAGAGAAAACAAAAACATATTAATAATAAGACTTAGCAAACACACCTTGTTTAATATTTTAACATACATTCTAAAGTAATTTTGATTTCTTTGCTTATTTAAATTTTTCATCATACAGTTACTGTTTTTTGCTACATTATTCTCCTAATTTATAGTTATACTATTTGTATTAACTTATTTTTTCTCCATTACTTATTCCAATTCCATCAGTAAAATACATTACACTAATAATGAGTAATATAGTATAAATTAAAAAAAAAAAACTTATACCACTATAATTCATGAAGTGTCTTGGGTTCATTACTATGATAAGGAAGTACTGTTTCAAGGTCAATGGTTCTGCAGGAAAATGATCGGGTCACGATCACGCTCAACCTCCAGGTATTCTCACTAATTAAGGGACTAATGAAAACCCCTATCCAGAGTTGTTGTAACAGAATTATATAGTCTTATACATTATATATACATGTAAAATTAATTTCAATTCACTCGCTTCATCTTTTAATTTTTGTATTTTCATTTATTTTGTTTATTACTTGTCTTACCTCCCCCCCCCCCTCCCCAAGAGTAGATCTGCACCTGATATCTGGTATCTTGTACTAATTTAACATGAACTTAATTTAATTTTTGTACCTCATACCAATTTACAATAATTTTATCTATCTTGTTTTTCTAGCCCTTATGAAGTCCAACAACATAGGTCGAGATGTAGGCTAACCAAATAAACACTATAACAACATATAGAATGTGTCCTCGGACTGGACCCCCCAACCAACATCTACTTAAATCAAAGACAGGTAGTAGGTTTAAAGGTTTGTAGGCAATATATACATACTCTATATACGACACTTCAGTTTCAGGCACCCGTACAGCCAAAAGGTAAGGTAAGGAGCAAATGGAAACCAAAAAGGAAAACCAGTAAAATTAAAATATATGAGAATTGCTATTAAAGAAACCAGTATTAGTGAAAGAACTTGTAAATTGACTTATGATTCACACATTCCAACACACAATAGCACTGCATTTGAAGTAGGGTTGTTTCCAAGTTAAGAAAATGAGTGCCTAGAGAATCAAGCAATAGGAAATGAAAAAAAAAAACAATAATTAAATTAATAAAAATAAATATAGAACCCATATTGAATGATTTTCTAATAAATGCTAAAAAACTAAATTATATAGCTTTCATTTCTCCTCAAGGAATGGAATAGGATATAAAAATTGGATAGAATCAATTTCAAGTTCAGAAATAACCAGAATAAAACATATGAGAACAATGTTTTCCAGCTTGATATGATCAGGTAGGAGGCATCACACACAATATAAATATAAGTTAAACATTCCTTTATCAAGATAATTACACTGAAAGTAATAAAACTTAATTACTAAAAATTAATTAAAATCAATTTCAGACTAATACCTCACTAAAGTACGTCACTAAAGTGAAAGATTTTAAATTTCAAAATGAACCATCTAAAACCAAAGAAATTTTCGAAAATGAGAAGATAATCCATTGTCAATAAAGGAAATTTATGAAACTTTTCTTTTATACAACACAATCCAAATTACTAAAAATCAACATTACTACAGATAAATATATGATCCCTGAATTAAATTGCATGACTCGAAACATGAGTATATTTTAACTGGTTTAATAATCAGTTTTTTATCAATCTTTAGTAGATAAGATAAATCCTTGGTTAAATAATAAATTATGGGACAATAATTTCTACAAGATACAGAAAAGTAAAAATTCTAACAATACATCTGAGGAAGAAAACAAATCAGCTCGAAAAAAAATCAAATAATGAAATTCGAATTAAAACAGTGATAATATTTTATTTTTACAGTATTTTTAATTTATTTTGTTTAAAGCGTGAGAAAATAAAAATAAAATAAAACATGATATATATATATTTAATTCATTTATATATTTTTGTGACCCTGATGTGTATAATGCTGAACTCCTTTAATGTGAAACACACCTGACACATTGTAGCAAGTTCTTTAGTTAGCATAGTAGAAATTCGAATGATAACGATGCATAATTGTTTCATGCTAGCAAAGTTTAGCATAGAGATCTTTGAATCCATTTCATCATATCAATCTCTTACGTTAACTGTATCGCAGGCATCAAACCTTTACCAATATCATTAAAATAAGATTTAGTTTTTATAATTATGTTTAAATCATTAACACAAGAGTCTAAAACATTAAAGCTATTTAACATATGAAACACAATTATAGTCCAAAAATATAAATCCTTTAAAATTAAGTTAACACTCGACAATTATCTACAATTATGTGGAAAATTCAAGTAAATATATCAATCTTAACTCCTACTAAGCAAATAATTTACTTTGTGCCGTATCAAACTTCAAAAATAAGGCTGTACTGATGTAAGGATATATCATTTAGAACAAATCGAAAATGAAAGAGAGCAAGATTACATTAGACTACACGATACACTATACAAACTGGTAACCATGAGGAGCTATTCCAGGTGTGTTATGGTAAGTTGCCATCCAGTCTGTATTATCCGGTCGTAGAAGGCCTAAACATCGAATGTTGAAGAAATCCACGCAATTTTGTAAAGGTCCTCGTGAGAATGGTGACTTACCAGATGAAAAATGACCATAGCGACCAGCATTCATTCTTTCATTAGTTGTCATGCCAAGAATGCTAATCTGTAGAAAAAATATTAATCACAACCTTTTTATAAATAATATTGATATACTTTCAACAGTAATGAATTGGTACAGTTCAAATCTAATTAATGATATATTCTGCATTGCTTGTATTTAAAAATAAATAAATAGCCCTTCAGAAATTTAAAAAAAAAAAATAGAATCTCACATAAAATTATTACTATTACATTTTCAAAGGTATAGATTTTATATAATTTCCTTTTAATTGTTTTTTCGATACTTGTCTAGTAAGTGGTCGGAATCGACTGCAATCTGCCGATGTTTATAACCTGAAAGCTGATTATTCTGATAAGGCACTGATAATCCCTATCATCGTATTCATATTTATTGTATTATATTCATATTATCGAAATTGTTAACAAAAACCAACACAAATGTAATAATAAAAAAATACTTTTACTTTACAACGTATATATGAAAACATATGTAATAATCACAAAACAGTTTCATTTGATATTGAAACAGACAAAAACAAATGTAATAATTCCCACAACAATAAGAAAACACTTTCATTTTACAACATACACTGACAGGCAAAAAATTCCACCCACTTGATTTTTTCATGTTTTCATCTAAAAGTATTTCTGCTTTGGATTGGTCTATTGTTTTTAATGAATAAATAGGTAATCTTTTTGTTTGTTTTCAATTAGGAATGTTAATATAGAGGACAATAACCCTTAATTCTTGATTCAATGAAATTATTCTAGATTCCAATGTTTACTTTCTATGGAATCAAAATGTTTATTCAGTATCATTAGTTCAATGCCATTTCTAGCAGCACATTCCTTAGTCTCCGGCTTTTAATTTTTTCAATATAAAGTTTAAAAATCCCTCTTAGTGCTGAGGATGTTGAGTGTGGTGTGGCACTTATTGATGATGGACGTTCCATTAGATATGCAGCTAATGCCATCGGAGTTGCATATGAAACTTTATGAGACGCAGTCAGGCGTTTTCGGGAAACTGGTTCTTACAAGAGAAGGCCCGGTTCTGGACGGCCTAGGGTAACAGAACCACAGGATGACCGGTTTTTGACTTTGAGAATTTTACGAAAGCGGCACCTTACCATTGTTCAAGCGATTCATCAGCTCGAAGAAGTTCGAGGGGTGCAAATTTCTAAACGTACCGCTTGGAGAAGATTAAATGAGTATGGATTAATGGCTTTTCGTCCAGTAAGAGGACCAGAGTTGACCAGAACTCACAGAATAACACGGCTGGCTTTTGCTCAACAACATAGTCATTGGAGTATGGACGAATGGAGTGCTGTACTTTTTACAGATGAGTCAAGATTCGCTTTTCGATCTCCAGACGGGCATGAAAGGGTGTGGAGAAGAAGAAACGAAAGATATGCAGCCTGTAATTTTTCTCAGAGCCAACCTTTCCGTGGTTCCTTAATGGTGTGGGCTGGGATTTCAATGGAGCTCCGCACAGATTTAGTTGTTGTTCGTGGAGGGTCTTTGACGGCCATACACTATGTAGATGAGATTTTGGAACCTCATGTGTTGCCTATCCTCAATGAAATCGGCGATCGTTCTATTCTAATGCAAGATAATGCACGCCCACATGTCGCCCGCATAGTGCAGACGTTCCTTCAACAGACCAAGGCTATTGAGGTTTTAGCCTGGCCAGCACGTTCTCCAGATTTGATCCCCATTGAGCATTTAAGGGATAACCTCGGAAGACGAATAAGAGCGCGTGCAACACTTCCTGAAACACTGCAGGACCTTGAAAGAGCTCTTGGGGAGGAATGGGCTATCCTCCAGCAAAGGGAAATTTCCTGACTGGTGGAAAGTATGTCGAGGCGTCTTCAAGAAGTAGTGAAGGCAAGAGGAGGAAACACGCGCTACTAAACGATGATGTAATTAATTTCTTTTAGAAATAATGGTTCGTTTTTCAACTTTTTTTTTCTCTAATCTTTCTTACCCAATCACATTTTGATTATTAAAGGTAAACAAGATTATAAAATTCCATAAATACTAAGTATTATCTACAAATACCATGTATTATATACAAATACAACTTTTTTTACAAGTGGCAGAAATATTTTTAGATGAAAACATGAAAAAATCAAGTGGGTGGAATTTTTTGCCAGTCAGTGTATATATGAAATAGACAAAAATAAATGTAAAAATAAAAAACACTTAAACAACATATGTACATATAAAAGAAACAATATAAACACTCTTTGCCCTACTTTATCGTTGTTAAATTATGGTTAAATGTTTTTGTTACAAGTGGTAGAAAAGCATCTTCATTTCGTCTTCCTGTCTAACTTCATTTGATGACCTTCTTCACACAATTTAACATTTGGAATTATCCCAGTGTTTTGCAAATATTCTATAGCCTCTTCTTCTGAAGACGGCAATTTTCACAATGTGATACATCCATAATTTGAAGAAAATCACACAAATGGAACCAAAATAAACAATGGAATAACTCACATCTTACAGGAGATAAGAAGAGAGGTTATGTGATGTAACATTAGATAACAAGGGAGGTTTCGTCCTGACACATACTAGACAAGTACCATTTTTTCTTTTAATTTTTGGAAATTGATACTTTTTAGTGAAAAAAAAAAAATAGAACTATTAAATTTTCGGGGTTATATATTATTCAATCTAATATTATTTTTTTTTTTTTTTTTTTATTATAACACCTTTAATAACCCTTTGTATTTCACAAATACTTTATTTCATTTTGTTCCTTTTTTTTGTGTACGACAAACATTTCGGATGATTTTGCCCATTTTTAAATCAAGAATGACATCTGAGGATCGTCAAAAAAAGATTTTTAAAACCATACAAAATGCTAAGAAAACAAAGTCTTTTTTTTTTTTTTAAATGCTTAATGCCCACATTCCGAAAATGAGAAATAATTTAAATAAAATGTTTGCTTTTTTTTTTATATAGATTCTCACTAATCTGAACTAGTTAGAACCAAGGAGGTTCAGTAGTAAAAAACATAGTAAAAAGCATAGTAAACAGCAAGTAAAAAACATAGTAACCTCGAAAACATAGCTCAATATTGCCTCTGTACAAGAATGAATACAATAGTATTTGGAAAGAACAAACATAAGCCAGCAAGGCATTAAAAAGAGAAAAATTAATGATGTTTTTATTTACCTGATAAGCTTGGCATGCAAGCAACATTGAGACCCATAAGGTATGAAGAAGAGCATTCAATGCTATCCAAAAAACCCATGAGTCACAAATAGCAATAGCCCACAATTCTGAAAGAATGCAATAAGATGTTTTAGAAATAAACTTTTCAATTTGTAAAATAATCATCTGAACACTTACAAACTACAACTACTTTATTCTTTTGCTCAAATATTAACAACATATATCAATTTTCAAATCCAAAATATCTTGAAAACTAAGCAATTATATTAGATAATTACATTATACAGAAAATTAATGTAACTCAGAACTAAGTCAAAGCCATGATAAGTTTGGCTTACAAGAGATTGGGGAGTAAAAGAAATGTGGTATTATAAATTTCAATATTTTTGTTAAGTGATAAAGGTCAAAAAATGTCCAAGTCCCGATGGTTCTTGCTAATGCACATTAGGAGGAGAGAAAAAATTATATCATATGATGACAAGACTTCTTTATATTACTGTTTTTTTTTCCTTTGCTTTGCATTGATTTAAACATTTATATATATATATATATTTTAATTATATTATTATCTATATATATATATATATATAAATTAATGTATGTCTGTGAGTCCTTTATGCATTATTAAACCATTCATGAAACTTTGGGAAGTTGTTGCATTCACTCCCGCGAAGGTTTCTGGCATAGCACTTCTGTCTTACGATAATTTTATGTATAAAAAAAAATGTAAATTTTTTTTTGTTCAAAGCCGCTATTCTCCGAAAGTTCTTCACCAATTGCTTAGAAAACTTTCCCAAAAACAACCTGACAAATTGTTACGATGAATTAAAAATTTGATTTGCCGATAACTAAAAAAGCACACAATTTTGGTTGATAATACCCATATTTATTTGAAAGATTCCTGAATTCCCTACAAAATAAAAATAAAAAAATCATCAAAATTGCACGATTCCTTGCTGAGTTATAATAGTTTTAAATATTTGCTACTTTCTCTTCAGAAAAGGCCATTTCCTTTTTTTTTTTTGTTATTGATTAATCGAAAATTTTATAATTTCTACAGTAATTGAAATTATCATTTGAAGAAGTGATATGATTCTCCTTACGTAGGTCAATACTACTATACGCTCTTTATATTCATTTTTTATTTTCCTCACAATTTATTCTGGAAGTATTATGATACATCTCAAATATTTGATTTGCTATTATTTAAAAATGTTTAACTCTTATGTTCAATTATCACCGTTTATGTTCCTTTTAGAAATCAGTTTTTTATTGATTTCAGTTTATTTTATTTTATAATAAATTATTTTCTTTTACATTACGTTGGAATAAGGTTGTGCCGTATACCGTAGGGTTTCTTTCATGAGTAAGGTTTATTTTTCCACAACAATTTTTATAACTCTATATTTAATCAAGTTGTTATTAAGAAGAGGGGAGTGGGGTAGCTCAGTGGTAGGGCACTGAGCTTCCAATGCTAAAGGTCCCGGGTTCGAACCCCGGCTCATGGCAGAAAATTTATTTATCTGTTTCATGGGCCGTGTGGCGACCCTGGGTCGGGAGACCCTCCTGGGGCACACCCAGTCTCTATAAAGTGGGAACCATTAATTAAAAAATTAATTAAGAGGGAAAACCTGGCGGTTGAACGTGATATCGGTCAAATCACCTCCTTGCACAACCGTTGACCTAGAAACAATGCTTTTCCTAAATAGTACTGAACCCCAGACCCTTCATGGATTGTAGCGGTACAGGTTTTTTTTTTTTTTTTTGTTAATAAGAAGTAAGCAATCAACTATCTTAGGAGAGGTATGCGATATCTTTGGAGGAAGGAGGAAGGCAGCTCTAATGCACACAAAATGAACGCTATGATAAATGGTATAGCACAATTTCAATGCATTGCCACGATTGATATTTGAAAATCTTCAACTTTGAGACAGTATCGTAAAATAGTTTGAACCGCATGTGTTTGCTTTTACATCCAACTGATGAAGCGTTTGTAATAAATATGTATAGTTTCACCTCATATTTTATAATAGAAGCCATATTAAACCACACGTGTATTCAAATGCAACGTTAAACCAAAATTTCAAGGCAATGGGTGAAGATCTTTCCAAGATTTAAGAGTTTGAACAAACAAACATTTACATTTTTATTTGCCATAAAATATTCAACACAAAGTTGAACATTAAATATAAAAAATAATAATAATAAAATTAAACATGAAAATATATGAATGACTACATATCAAAGACGGAACTCTGTCATTTTCAGAAAGCGGAGATAAAGTCAATTTTAGTTTTATAAGTTCAACTCAGACTGTTTCTGATGATTAAGAACGTTCAAGTTAAATCATGAAAAAAAAAATCATTAGAATTAGTTTAAATTAAAGCCATTTTACAGACAAATTGTTTCCCAACTTTTTAAAAATGACAGATTTCTTTTATTAATCCACTCATATGTGCTTTCTACTTTCTTTCTTTTTCCTTTTGCCAGACTGAGCCACAGCAGTGCTTCGTCAGGTAAACCTAGTATATAATAAAAAATAAACTAAAATTTTAAAAACCGGTACCACTAACAACCCATGAATGATCTTGGGTTCAGTACAATGTGAGGAAGTACTGTTACAAGGCCAACGGTTGTGCAGGGAGGTGACAGGCCAATATCACACTCAACCGCTAAGTTTTCTTCCTTAATTAATTATGTAATTAAGAGTACCCACTTTATAAAGGCTGGGTTTGCCCAAGGATCGACCCATGACTGATTAAAAATTACTAGTCATCAGCCGGATTCGAACCTGAGACCTTAAGCTCTGGAAGTCAGTGCTCGCCCACTGAGCTACCCCGCTCACATATTATTATATATAAAAAAAAAAAAAAAAAAAAAAAAAAACCTGTACCACTAAAACCCATGAAGGATCTGGGGTTCAGTACTATTTAGGGAAAGCACTGTTTCTAGGTCAACGGTTGTGCAAGGAGGTGATTTGACCGAGATCACGCTCAACAGTCAGGTTTTCCCCCTTAATTAATTATTTAATTAAGGGTACCCACTTTATAGAGGCTGGGTGTGCCCCAGGAGGGACTTCTGACCCAAGGTCGCCCCACGGCCAATGAAACAGATAAATAAATTTTCTGCCATGAGCCGGGGTTCGAACTCGGGACCTTTGCATTGGAAGCTCAGTGCATATTATTATATATATTATAATTATTTTTATGAAACATTTAACATTTGTTATTATGTTTTTTGTTAGTATTTCTGAATATTAGCTAGGAGCAGATAGGTTATAACTATAATAATATTATAATAATGATAACTATAATAAATATTAGCCAGAAAGGTTAAAACGGCACTTCTAACCTTACTATACATGTCATTCAGCATGGATGTATAAATACACTTTATTAATATAAAACATAATAAACTTACTGTGCCAAAAAGTTGGATAAGTCAGCCGTAAGGGACAAGCAGCAGTCCAAAATTTTGAACAACCATAGAGAAGAAATAAACACATCACAACAAGCATAATCAAATACCCTATAAAATGACGATGATTGCGGGCACCTACATTAAAAAAAATTCATTAGCTTTTAATATAAAAATTATTAAAATTAATAAATCAATATAATCTAAATCTTTGAAGTGAGACGTGGGTGATTTTTTTTTTTATTATAGACTACAATAAATAGCATTTTAAAAATCTCAAAGATATGTGATAAGTTTCTCTCATTGCAATTCTTACCTTCAAAGAAACTAAGCTATTGTAAGATTAAGGCAGGACCCATATACTATCTTGAAAACATATACTATCTTGAAAACAGTAAATTTTAGTGCTTTATAATGCAAGGCTCAGAACGTTCCACTGAGTCTTCATGTCCATTTCAAAATATTGATCGAATTATAAATTCAACTCCTGTGACACGGAATAGATAGTTTAACAATATATATATATATATATATATATATATATATATATATATATATAATATTATAGTCGTCTCTTAATGATTCGGAATCCAAGGGACAACAAGAAAAATTCGAATTATCGAGACTTAAGTTATCAAGAAGTTTGAAGTATCAAGAACAAAGAAAAAAACTCAAATTATTAAGAGTTTTTATTATATTTTTGAAAATATGTATGAGCTGACATAAGTTTTATATATAAATAGACTCATCTAAAAAATATTATGAGGAAAATTTTGAATTATAAACAGGGGAAGTGGTCTAGTTGGAATTATAGAATGTTCTTTCCCCCCTCTTGTTACGAAAAGGATTTTGAGTTATCGAACTATCAAAATGCATCATTTTTTCAATTTACTGAAGTTAACAGCTGAAGAGTTTGAATTTTCGAAAAATTCAAATTATTGAGAGTCAACTTTATATATGACTTTTACCACTGTGCAAGTCAAAATATTATTTATGAGGTTGATTAACAAGCAAAAACTATTGAGTTGACTTATTCCATTTTTTTTGTCAAGAGATTATGGGCTCTCATAACTTTTGTAATATTTCAATATGTAGATTTAGGCAGAAGGAGGTTATATAAAATACAACATATCATTAGTTTATTCCAAAAAAAAAATTATCAAATGACAAGAATTTTCCCTTTATAAAATCAGAAAATTGTGCGCTTGATGTAACTATATTTCAATATATAAGAAGATTTGTTTCATTTTCATGCACTTACAGAGAATTAATGTATGGATTGATACATAAAGTTCAGATGCACAAAAACCTATTTAAAAGTCAACCTATATAAAAAATGCACTTAGTGACTTTTTCGCAATAAACCGATATATCAGTGTAATTTTGAATTGTAAATAAAACAGTCTTTGAATGAATAAAATAGATTATAATTATATTGCGTCCTCTTATATTTACCTATGCAGTTGTTGACCCAAGGACAGTGATGGTCAAACTTTGCAACACACTGATTGCATACGGAGCAATGCTTTGACCGAATTGGTTTTCTTACTAAACAGGAACTGCAAAAATACTGAGTATCAAATCCTCCTCGTTCTGCTAATTCAATGATAGTCTGAAAAAAATTAAGAAATAATAATAATCAGTTTCATAAATGAGTTTTATTTCTCAAGAGCAATTTTTTTTTTTTACTACATATGAGTACTTCAAAAATAAGATAAATGATGTTCAATAAAATGCCTAGAAATATTTTAAAGTGTATCTGAATATTAAACCTATAAATGATTATGGATTGTAAAGTTTACTAAAATGAAATTACGAGATTTTCATTGTCTGCCATAGATACGTCAACATTTATCACACTAATTTTAAGTGAATTATGTTGGGATTTCACAAAGAGAAAATTCATCAAATTAATAACTAATTTAATTTTCTAAAAAGTACATGATGATTTTTCGGAGTACAGATATCTAACAGACGATAGATACCTAATTATTTAAATATAATAGTGGTTCTAGAGTTATTAAACTACAATAAATTAATTTAAGTTTATAAACGGATGTTTTACACAACTTGAAATATATTTATATTTCACTTCTTCTTCCACACAGGTAAAATGAAATTGTTTTTTAAACAATGGTGGATTTTAAATACTGTTTTTTGTTTTGTTTTTTTAATTTAAACATAATTTTTAAAGTTTATATTTGGTTAGGAAATTTATTTAATTTTCTTGAAAACGAGGGAATTCCATTAAATAATAATAGTCTTCAGAAATTATTATTTATATTCATAATTGGTAATTGGTTGACTGTCGTGGATAATGAAGAGAAGAATAGTTGGAGTGCTCAGTCAAAAAATTAAGGCAAAAAATAAATTATAATATTTATTTTTTACATATGCCGACGTTTCGACCTGAAGTTCAGGCCTTCATCAGGCCTTGACATATAAGGGGAGAATCATTCTCCCCTTGACACTTAAGGAGAAAGCCCTGATGAAGACCTGAACTTCAAGTCGAAACGTCGGCATATGTAAAAAATAAATATTATAATTTATTTTTTGCCTTCCTTTTTTGACTGAGCACCCCAACTATTCTTCTCTTCTTTATTATTTATATTTTTTTCTTTGCCCTCCATTACTTTCTACGACTTTCTATATTAGATATTGGTTTTTCTAAAATTCTACACCTTCCAACGATATATTATATGTATAGCTTCTGACTATTATTTCCGAAGATTCATTTTCAAGCTAAATAAGTATTTTTCCATTTTCTCCTTTATTCAATTATCAAATTCTGTAAAAACTTGTATTTAGCCTTTTTTCATTACTTATATCTTATATATATGAGAAATATTTAATTATTTAAAATAAACCGAATTAAAAATACTTTAGAGGAAGACGTGTTGAACATTGGGCATTTAAACTCTGTAAAGTAACATAAATGGGGATAAGACCTAAATGATATCAAACACCACTTAATTATAAAATGATGCATTGAATTTAATCAAAATCGTTAGATCCTTTTTGAGACAACTGTAAAAATGTGTATCACCATGATATAAAGTGGCACTTCTGGTTAGCCGATAGATGAAAAAGCTGTAACATTCCAGGCATATAAAAACCTTAAATATGCAATTTCACTTTCGTATGACTTTTCATTTTTTATCTAGACTGATAATATACACACAGAAACATGGACACACAGACATACAAACCATTTTATGGGACTTGGTTATCTGGACTCAGAGGACCACAAAACATGCATTTCCGTTGAAAAATAAGATTCAAACATTTTCACGATCGCAATACATTCTTACTATACATTACATATATAGGTAAGTGAAAGTAAAAATCACTATCACCTTCATTAGTACCATTAGGATGATCAGAGAAGAAATACTCATCCTCACAGAGTTCTGGTAACAAGAGAAATGCTGGGATTGGCACTTCCTCTGAGTGAAAAATAGGGATTTAAATATTGGTACGTGGAACGTAAGGAGTTTAAACACAGCAGGGGGGTTAAAATCGTTCGCGAATGAGGTTAATTGGTACAATGTGGATGTTGTGGCTCTGCAAGAGGTTCGCTGGCCAGGGGACGGCTTGATGAGGGAAGGAAAGTACACTGTTTGGTACGGAGGAAGTGGAAATCATTGTTTAGGTACCGGGTTTCTAATTAGGAATAGATCGCTATCCACTTTGAGGGATGTACAATTCTTTAGTGATAGAATTTCGGTAGCTATATTTCAGGGATGTTGGTTTAAAATCGCATTAATAAACAAACATTGTCCGACCGAAGACAGTGACGATGTAATCAAATGCGAATTTTACGATAAACTTGAATGGGTTTATGATAAACAACAGCGAAACTCCATGAAAATAATTGTAAACTAACTCCCTGGCGCTACAGACCAGCACGATCCTTGGCCTCCTGAGTTATTTTTTTCCAATTCTCTCTGTCCTGTGCTACTCTCTTCCAATTGCAAACTCCTAGCTTCTTCGCATCTCTCTCCACTTCATCCTTTCATCTGCTTCTCGGTCTTCTTCTTTTTCTCTTCCCACTGAAGTGTGCTTCCAATATTTTTCTCGGCACCTGTTCATTCTCCATTCTGATTACATGTCCTGCCCATCTAAGCCTACTTGCCTTGATATAGTTAGTAATGTTTTGATTCTGTAGTATAGCCTCAATTTCATTGTTACTTTTGATTTTCCACTCACCATTAACACATGTAGCACCGTAAATCCTTCTTATTATTTTCCTTTCGAATACTTTTAGTTTACGACAATCCTCTTGTGATAAACACCAAGTTTCCGCTCCATAGGTGACTACTGGTCTAATAAGCGTTTTATACAGCTTTATTTTTGTGGCTTTTGACAACAATGGAGACTTGAGAAGTTTTATGTTTGCATAATAAGCTTTATTACCAGCCATTATTCTGTTGTCTATTTCTCTGCTGATTATATTTTCATTATTTAGGGCAGAACCAAGATACACGAATGTACCCACGAATGTGGGTACATTTTCGAACCTAAAATCTTTTATTGTAATTTCATTGCAGGATCTTCTACTTGCTGTCAAGGACAGTTTCAGGTATTTAGTTTTGTTTTCATTGACCACAAGTCCTATTTTGTTGCCATTTTCGTACACAATATCAAATGCCTCTTTAAGCGCCTTTCCACTTCGTGCAGCTATCACCAGGTCATCAGCATAAGCACAAATTTGCCAGATCTTATCAAAGATGGTGCCTTTTTTAGCTGCATCTTTCACAGCAGTATGCAGAGCTATGTTGAATAGTGTTGCCGATAAAGCATCTCCTTGACGCACTCCAGACTGTACCTCGAACAATCGACCAACTTTATTTCCAATAATAACTTTGGATGATGCATTTTCCATGGTCATGTGTATTAAATTAATTAGTTTATGTAGCACTCCACTTGTCATTAGCATTCTTAACAGAGCTGATCTCTTGATGCTGTCAAATGCCTGCTTGTACTCAATGAATAACAAGTGCAGATCAATGTCATACTCATAGCATTTTTCCATCATTTGTCTTATAACAAAAATTTGATCCGTAGTACCGCGTCCAGCTCTAAAACCATACTGGTAATCACCTAAAATTTCCTCAGCATATTTTCGCAACTTTTTCAATATTAAACTAGAAAGGAGTTTATACAGGACTCCCAATAGGGTTATTCCTCTATAATTTGTGCACTGATCTTTGCTGCCTTTTTTAAGAATAGGACATATTAATCCATTTTTTAAGAACAGGACATATTAATCCTCCAGTCATCCGGCATCTTTTCCTCTCTCCATACGTCACAGATCAACTCACATATTGAAAATAATTGTAGGTGACACAAACGCAAAGGTGGGAAGGGAAGAAGTTTATGTTCCGACGATTGGTAAAGAAAGTTTGCACAAATATAGTAATGATAATGAGATCCGCCTGATAAACTTTGCCATATTGAAAAACGTGATAATTAAAAGTACTACATTTAAATATAAGGATATTCATAAATATACTTGGACATTATCGGATTCGCAAACACAAAATCAAATCAATCATGTCTTGATACAACATAGCTGGCAAAGCAGTATAATTAATGTACGGTCTTAACGCAGGTGGACACAAAATGTTGGTCGGATCATGAATTAGTAATCGTGAAACTTCGATAAAAACCTAATATAAAAAAGAGAAAAGAAAACCGTTTAAATTTTGATAATTTTAATTTGAAATAATTAAAAAATCCATCAATTAGAACCCAATTCGAGCTAAATGTTAAAAATAGTTTTGAAGCTTTAGAGCTTTCTGATGAGAACCATGAGGATATTGACAAGTTATGGGCAGAAATCAGGGATAATATTAAAGCGGTAGGTAACTCGTATCTAGGAAAAAAAGGAAAATAAGAATAACAAACCGTGGTTTGATGAAGATTGTTTAAACATGTGCGAAAAAAGAAAAGCCGCTAAATTAAAAACTTTAAATAATCCTAATGAAGGCAATCTGGAATACTTCCGAACCTCAAAGATTGAAACGACAAAATTGCTCAAAAATTAAAAAAAGGGAGTATCCCAAAAATAAAATAATTGAAATAGAAACTAATAGAATCGAAAATAACGTAAGAGACATGTACAAAGGTATAAACAGATCACGTAAATGTTTAGGGCCCGTCACATCTGAAATTAGGGATGAAAACAACAATATTCAGACCAATCCGTTTGACATATTAAATAAGTTTAAGAACCACTTTGACAATATTTTAAATACGAGAAATTATGATCCGTGTCCTCCTTCTGAGTACCAGAGTGCTGAACCATTAATAGAAGAACCGAGTAAAGAGGAAGTTGAAGTAGCTATCGGAAAATTAAAACCTTATAAAGTAGCGGGAACTGATAATACTCCTACTGAACTAATTAAGGCATGCGGGGAAGCTGAAGTTTTTAAAATACATTGCTTGGTTAAATAGATTTGGGAAAATGAGAAATTCCCTGAATAATGGAAAGAATATATTCTTATTCCAATTCACAAAAAAGGTCAGAGGACGGATTGCAATAACTATCGAGGCATTTCACTCCTTCCGGTATGTTATAAAATATTCACTTTAATCTTAACTAGTAGAATCACGGAATACACCGAGGAAATGATCGGAGAGTACCATATAGACTGAAGCGAAGGTGGGAAGATTCCATCAAAGCCGATCTAAAGAGATTGGTTTGGACGGTGAACGGTGGAGGGAAGTGTGTAATAAGTGATTGGTGGTGTCGGCATTGAACCTTCGGTTTCGCTAAGCCTTTTATTATTACAGTAAAATAAAAAATGTATATATATATATATATATATATATATATATATATATATATATATATATGTATTTTGTGAATTTATTATTTTGTGAATTTTGTAACTTTATTTTGTGAATAACTCAAAAAGAATATATATATATATATATATATATATATATATATTATATATATATATATATATATATATATATATATATATATATATATACTTTTTGAGTTATTCACAAAATAAAGTTTCTTTTTATTCATAACTTTTTTCTGAAATTTCGGGGAATGCAACTACTTTTTCCATCTGAAGGAGAAGATCTTCAAAATGAGAGCTGAATCATTGGATTTGATAAAGAATTGACGAAGATATGGTGTAGTGACAAAAAAATACCTTCGAGAGATAATAAGAGTATATAAAGATTGGTTTTGAAAAATATTTTTTTACTATTATTTTAATTTAGAATATTTGTAAATGACTACCAAAAATCAAAACATTACTTAATATATTAAATAAAAAGATAATTTCTAGTTAAATAGATTTTTATTGGTGAAATATAATATTGTGTTCTTTTTAAAACTTTATCTATTATTGATTAAACATAAAAATTATATATCAAAATAAAATTATATAAAAAAAATCCACTAAAAATGATTAATCAAAATAAGTTATTTATCACAAGCATAACTCTTATGAATTAATTTTTAGAAATAAGAAAAAAAAGTTGAAAACCTAGTTTCCATTTGGGCTTCAATGTCATAGAAATTAAAATAATATAAATATCTATTTAAAAAACAAATTTACAACAATTGTTCTTACCCTAAATTTCTGATCTTGTGTTGTAGCAACAATGCCAGGATCTCCTCTCCAGGATTTTATGAAGAAATGCCACAAGATGAGAGATACAGAGAGGAAAACTAAAGAAGTCAAAGTGGACATAGCAGGACTCAACCAAATAAGCCATGTCAAATAGAAGTAAAACTGGAAATAAAAAAAAATTAATAATTCCAATACATAATATAAATAATAATAAGGCTTAGTGAACCCGAAGGTTCGATGCCAATACCACTAATCTCTGTCTACATTCTTCCATCCAAACCCAAACCCACCAGATCAGCCTTAACGCAATCCTCCCATCTTTGCTTTGGTCTACCTCTCGGTTGTCAGTTGGCACAGTGCATATTAACTTTATAGGAATCTTTCATTACTAAGCTCAGAAATTTGAGATGCTCATTTTATTCACCTCAATTATATTAACCGTATAATAGAAAAAATATACATCCCCAGGAATCAAGAATATTTAAACTTATTGAAATCTGAAACATATATTCACAGACTAGGGATGATCAGTTCCACAGGTTTCTATAAACTTAAAAATTAACAAATATCTGTAAGAAAGTCCCTATAATGTTATTTTACTGAATAAGTATATAATCATGGGATATACATTTTATCTATGTAGGCCTTAATTTAAGAATGTTTGTTTCTTTTTTATATTAAGAGTAAATGTAGTACATAATGAGTTATTACATAAGCATTATACTAGTGTCATACCTTAGTTGCAAAATACAATGACATAGGTAGAATATTTATTAACGATTCATCAAGAAGGTGCCTGGAAGCAGTGTGTACGAGGAGTCCAGCTCCAAACAATAAACCAGCTTTCCCAAGATAAGGAAGTGTTGAGTCTAGAGTCATTCCCACGGTATAAAATATTAGGAAGGGAACTGATATCATAGTATAATACCTTAATCTCTGGAAAAAAATAATGATAAAATTAAATTTAATTGAACAATAACTAATACTTTTAGTTATTCTTTAATCCCTCTTATTTTTATGACGAAATTTAGTAATAATGTTTTATTTTTTTCATTTCAAGGAATATATTCCACCATAAAAATAATAAGAAATGAAAGACACGTTACAGAAAGATATAAAATTATTGGTATTAAACTTTAAAAATAAAATGCCACATTAAGATCCTTTACATACCTTATCACCAGTTATTCGACCACAGATTGTATTTCTCTGTAATAAAGCAGAATGTTCTGCAACTTTATCTAAGACTTTTTTTCCAAGCCAAGAAGAAGTCTTTGGGGAAGATAATAAACTGTACGCGCTCAGTCCCTAAGAAAATAAAACATTAAATGATAACCTCTAAATATAGCTAAACGAATCAATACTAAAATAAAAAGATGAATAGTTTGTTTGTTTGAACAAACTAATTTTAGAAACTAGAAAAATTAATTATGTGTTATAAAGACGATTATTAAAGAACTCTTTACGCTTTATAAAATCATGCTAACATCTATAAAACCATCAATATTGAAAACTGGGAATAATCATGCCGGTATAGCTTAATGGTAAATAAAGTACAGCGCAATAAATAGGCATATTGAAGTTCAATTTAGATTCATTTTTCATAAAATCAAGGCCATTATTTTCTACCAATGATTTATTGCTTTTTACAATATCCTATGTGACGATATTTCGTTCAGTACCTGTGTCTTTTTCAATTCTGAAATTTGTTTTCATTACAATACAATTTAAAAATGTTAATTTTATACAATTTAAAAACATTAATTTTATATTCTACACATAAAGTGTGTCCCGAAATTAACGCAAGATTTAAATTAAATATAAAACATAGTTCTTTCTTCTTCTGACTTCTTTTTCTTTGTCAATTTAAAAGCAGATAATTCAGGATTAGTAAAAATGTAGCGTTATACAAGCGAACTTGTTTTCATTTTGAACAATATTTCAAAAACCATAAAAGTTTAGCAGCCACTGTTTGAGCATTGATCAAAATACTCTATGACAAAATATGGTCTTCCAATTATTCTTAATATTTAACTTCATCAACTTTGAAGGGAGTGATTGAGAAATTAAAGCTGGCTGGATCAATTGGAGATGTTAAACACATTGGTCATCCGAAAACAAGGCGTTCAAGTGTCAATATCGAAGCAAGACAAGCTTTATGACGCCAGAAATAGGAATATGAATAGAATTCAATTAAGACTTTTTTCCCAAGGAGAAAGTTTTAAAGATAATGATACATGTTTCTGGTAGACGTGTAAGGCATAGCTAGTTAGTGAAAAATGTAATTTTTACAAATCTATAAAGTTTACACTTTTCTTAATAGAAAACATTAATGATAAGTAATAACTTAATTAATAAACTCATAAAAAATTAAAATTTCGAAACATTGACAGATAATAAAAACTATCAACAATCAAACCTGTATATTAGTGATGTCAAAATTAGCTCCTGCTGAAACCAGGGAAGATACTGCTAAAGTATTTCTTGTTTCGATAGCGTAATGAAGAGCAGTATTGCCTTTTACTGAGTCTTGCATCGTTGTACTAGCCCCAAAAGTAAGAAGAAGTCTTGTAGGATCTAGACTAAAGCAGAATAGAAAAAAATTAATTCATTAACAAGCCTTATTTCAAGAGAAAATAAGGTAAAATATGTTGTAACATAATGGATAACAATGTAACTCTGTGATAACTAAACACACTCTACATCAAAGCTGTGTGAGGAAAATAACAGCCTATACATTATATATTACTACAAAAAAAAAAAATTGAAGAAATATATATTCAATATATTTTTACAGTTTAAAGTTTTAAAATAAATATTCATATTAGTCTGTACCATGTTTTATGCTATTCACGAAGTTTTAGGTGAATATTAATAATTGGATAAAAAGTGGTCTGTATCATGTACTACATGTAAAACATTAAAAAATAATAAATATAAAACAATGCAAAAATTATGCTATCTGCTGATTCTGCTGATCTGCTGAAAACTTTCACTTTACTCCTATTACTCCTTTCACTGTTTCAACTCTTTCACACTTTATAATACCCAAAAAGTTATATTGTATATAAATGGTAATTCACTATTTATTTAGTTAGTGAATATTAATTTTCAGTTACTAGTTTCCTTTTATTTAATTTGATAATAATATCTAAATAGTTATTGTGTATTCTAATTGCTGGTAACTAGTGTTTAATAATTATTTCCTAAAGGTTTTACTATGAATATGTTTTTTTCACTATATATCTTGAATATGAGAATAATAAAGTCACTAAAATGTAGTTGTTTATTTATTGACTAAATCTGATGATCCTCAGAAAACATATCTTTATTATTAACAGTCAAGAAAATAAATTAATATATGTAGACACTCACAATCTATAAAAGTTGAAATAAATTTAAGTGGATATATAAATTTTTATTTTATGCATTAAAACATTGAGGTTTCGTCAATAAGTTCATTAATAAGTTACTAAGTTCATCACCTTGCAACTTTGTAGGAACTCCACATCAAAGGAGTCATTCCCGTAGAGTCTTGGCAATTGACAGGAACTCCTTTGGCTATAAGATAAGCTACTATAGAAGTGTGGCCAAACTGAGCAGCGACGTGTATGCAAGCACAACCCTCAGCATCGGTGATCATTGGATCGGCCCCGTACTGTATGAGTAGTGTTACACTTCCAAGATGACCCTGCCTGAAACAATTGGCAATCTTGAAGTTCTTCCAGAATATTTCTTTAGTTTTTATCATGTAAGCACTAAGAAATAATAAAACAAAATACACTTCAAAGTTTGGAGACGTAATTTAATCGAAAAACAAAAGTGTATACTCATTTTTGAAGTACTGAAAAACAAAAATTATTTGTGATTTATATATTTCATTAGATTTACTATTATATGTATTAGCAGATCTATGAAGAATTACTTAATAAAAAGTAATAAATAAAAGTAATAATAAATGAATAAATATAATAAAATCAATACAATATATTATTTCTCATAGAATAATACAAAGTTCAAAAGTGAAAAATCCATTATGTGCTGTCTAAAAAGCCCATTCAAAGCAGCTGCTCCACCACCTGACTTGGGAATATAATCTAAGATGATAATCTCCACTTCTTAAACTTAAAATATTGAAAAACCAGTACGAAGATATGTCAGAAGGAAACAACAAAATGACCTGCCTTTCAATAGCTTTCAACTGGGAAGATGGAACGTTCTCTCTCTTTGCCAAACCAGGAACACAGGAACACGTCCTCACACAAACTTAATATCACTGCTATCTAAGAGGTAAGGTGGATAGGAAATGGGATGATTTTTCAAGAGGCATCATGTGATACATTACACCTGTAACAGGTGAAAGCACACATTTGGGGGCAGATTCATATTTGGTAAAAAGAATCTCATGACTGATAACTAATTTCAAATCCATAAATTATAGAATTTTATCGGCAAGTTAAAGACAAATTCTATTATTTTAGTATCATTAATGTTCATGCTCCTAGAAAACATCTCTTAGAAGAGGAAAAGGATATATTTACGAGGCTCTTTATTTTACAAGGCTCTTTTTTTTTTCTTTTTTTTTTATAGTGTTGGCTCAAGGCACGTCGACCCCTGAAGGGTCCATTGTGCGCCAATTCAGTTATTCATTTATTATCAAAACATTATTTTTGCCTCTTCCGCGTATCTTAGTAGGCTGGTTGGATTGATCGTCTCATATCTACTGGGGAGATCTATTCGTTCCTCCCAAAATAGTTCCAGTCTCAGCCTTGTGAATCTATCACATCTACACATAATGTAAAAGGCTGTTTCATTCTCCTCCTGACAGAATCTGCATAGCCGATTCGTCGTTACTCGGAGATTGAACATATGGTAATTTAGCTTACAGTGACCTGTATAGATTGCTGTAAGCTTTTTAAGAGCTGCTCTGCCCATATTCAGTAGCTGTTTGCTTCTTTATTCACATGGACCTTTAAGGAACAGCTTCGAATGTCGCTGTTTCTTCTCAGTCCAGTAATTATTAAATATGTTCCCATAAATCTCCCTGATCCTACTTTTGGCAGTACTGAGGCTGATTCCACAAACAAGCTCGGGAATTACGGGAATGGTATCTGAGCCCAATCTGATTAGTTCATCAACCTTACGAGGCTCTTATTAGATGCATAGATGATTGTCCAAGAACTGATATAATTGGTCATAAGTCGGTTGCATAAGTCAGAACGGGATGTGAATTTATTTATACCATAACAATGCTTAGCACACCAAGAAAATAATGATAATAGTCACAAACTCAGCTTTGCGGCATCTAGAGGAATAGTGACTATTTCCTCAAAAGAATCCACCTCACTACTTGACGATCCAATTATGGTGTGACCGCTAAACAAATAGACCACACCTTCATAAGTGCAAAAAATAAATAGAAGACTAATGGCTGTAAAAAAGTGTTATTTTGGCCTCCAAAAATGTCTCGCAAGTAACACCATAGTGAAATTTCATTAGAGAACACCTGAAAAGTCTAAGTTTGCATATTTAAAAAATTACCGTCCTTGGAGGATTGATGAAATTATATTTATATATCCACTATAAAATGAAATACTGTCAATAAAAATTATGACAAAACTTTTTGTTATAAAGGAACAACCTAAAAATATGCTCTCCATAAAAGCCAAAAAATAAATAAATAATACCTGGAGTAAATAGATAGAAAGTAAGTTCATATTATTTCATAACTGGAAAGCAAAAGAAGATTAGTCAAACAAGTAGGGAATCCTCATGAAGCTATAAATAAAAAAAGTATAGAAATAGTAATTAACAGACAAAAGGTTATACACCTTTTTACGTTATGGTTATGGTTCAATTTATCCTACAATATACCTAGTGGCCCAATGTAAAGGTGTAGCTAATAGTTCACCTCCGACAGCATCAACAACAGCTCCTTTACTGACGTAATATCTTATAATATCTTGCCGATTATTTATAGCTGCCCAATGCAATAAGGTAACTGTCTCTGAATCTGGTTCGTTAACATCATAGCCTCCTTCGATTAGTTCCTTACATCTTTCTAGGTGGCCATACTAAAAAATATTTTAAAACATTTAATATCATTGAAGTAATAAACAAATTTAAAGATTAGTTTTTAACAGAATTAAAAAAAAAAAAATGTTCTTTACGTTTAAGACACCAGAATAAAAATGTATAAACATGAATTAAATAATTCTTTAGTAAAAATATTTTTATTTTGAAATAAGTCCTTACGGTTTTTCTGCTTATTTTTATGTCACTATGATACACTTATCTGATGAATTAATCCCTGAGGTGGATTGTTTAGCCTATTTGTAATATGTCAATAACTATAACTGTTAACTATTGTTGAAACTAGATTAGTATTTTCTTTGCTATTGCACTGTGAATATGGAAGAAAATATCATTCATTATCGTCATATTTTAAAAAAGGTAAGCGTGCTGCAGAAGCTCATAGAAAAATCTGCAGTGTTTATGGGGATGATGCCTTAACCGAACGCACCTGTCAAAATTGGTTAGCCAAATTTCATTCAGAAAATTTTGACATCAATGATGCTCAACGGTCTGGTTGCCCACATGAAATTGAAACGAGCAATGTTAAGGTCATTGTTGACCAAAATCCTACCCAATCAGGTCGAGAGATTGCTATGGCCATAAAAGTGTCACACTCAAGTGTAGAAAATCATGTGCACAAGCTCGGCTATGTTTCCAGGCTTATTGTTGCTTATGAATTGCTTCATAAGATTCATCTTTGGGATTCCCAAGTATTCACATATTTCTTGTTAGTACACCGAGTTGAAGTGGCTATATCCTACTTCCCGACGGCAATTCCTACTTGGTGTTTTTCTTTTTCAAGTTCTCAGAAGCAAAAACCCTCCCTACATCTTAGAACTCCTTACTTTACGCTCCTCTATCCACTCTCTCAATACCAGATCTCAACCTATAGATTTATATATCCCCTCCCATAAAACCACTTTCTTCAGTAAATCCTTCGTTATTTGTGCAATCTCCTTATGGAACTCCTTACCCATCTCCATACGTCAAACCACGTCCATAAACTCCTTCAAACAACTGTTCTATTCCACCACCTACTACAAATTCAAACTTCTGTAAGCTTGTAAAAATTTCTGGGTTATATAATTATGTTGGCCATCAGCAGTTAATTGACAGAAGTCATTTTATTTTTATTTATTATTATTATTTATTTATATATATATATGCTTACAATTACCTAGGTATTTTATAAACATATATATATATATATATATATATATATGTATAATACTTGCCAGTATAACACATGCCAGACTGATGTACATATTTTGTAAACACTACTATTATTCTAAGGGGACTTCAGTCCCAGAATAAAATTATTTTTCATTTCATTGTTTGGGTCTCACACATGATTTTTTCTTGAAAATCACAAAATGTTATAACTTTAATACAACTTTAGCTATCTACAAGAAATTTAGCAGGAATTTAGGGTCACATAAACAACACAAAATGACATCAACAGAATCTCCTAAAGAAACTACAAATGGAGATAAAAAAGAAAAATCTACAAGGAGTTTTGTTTCTTTATTCCTTATATAGGCATTAAATCATAAAACCATTCATACAGCTTCCCAACGGATATAGTAACATCGAATTTGGAGAACATCCTGAAAAGTTATGAATGATTGGAAGGGTGTTGTGTTCCACCAAGACAATCCTAGGCCCTCCACCTCCACTCACAATAAATTAATGAACCATGGATGCTTCACCTTTTGCCCCACCCATCCTATTCACCAGACCTCCCTCCAAGTGACTACCATTTATTTTGGTCTCTGCAGAACTCCAAGAATGGAAAGAAATTCCAAAAGGAAGAGGACATAAAAAACCACTTGGATCAGTTTTTTAACAATAAACTACAGACATTCTATGAACATGACATTCTGCAGTTAGTAGAAAGATGGGAAAAAGTCATATTAAATAATGGTCTATATATGGTAGATTAAAATAAACTTTACATTATAATACTGAGTTTTATAATGCTGTGTTATACAATAATACATTGAGTTTTTTATTCACCCTGAAAAACCGAAAGGACTTATTTGCCAACCCAATAATAACATTCAAGAGAAATAGTCTCAATATAATATTTATAATGAGATGCCAATACCTCTTATGAACAAATTTTGTAACTTTACTGGACAAACAAAAACTATTTTTTTCTAACTTTTTATTACACATTTATTTTTAAGTATAAATTATCATTTATACAAAACTCATATAGTTCATTGTTTCAGATTGATTTTCTATTTTCAATACCTTAACTTTTTTGGTTTATATAAATGTTAATTCTTATTAAAGCGTTTTGTAAATTTTCAGTATGAGATTTTGTACATCTTCATCAGAATATAGTAATGTTTTAGACATAAAATCTTTATTTTAGGAATCCTCTCAATTTTATAGTATGCTTAGAATGGTTAAGCATGATCCCCACATAGACCGCCGGCATGATTTTAAAATGTAAATACCATAAAATGGGTGGAATCGTCCAAGAATTTTGAATATACAAGAAATTGTGAGTTTGACAAGAAAAGATATTGGTGGTTAACAACCGGTTAATGCTGAAAGGTTAGTAGGTAAACAAATTTATTTAAACATGCTAGAGCTTATCCTAGATGTTATATTGACCTTAGGATGTTATATTGACTCAACCAGCCCAACTGAGACGGTTTGGTCTAAAACATGTGAACCAGGCCAGGTGGTCTAGCGTGCAGAGTCGCTAACTACCCAGTTTTATTTAATTTTAAAATGGACCAGTGCAGTTGGTCCAAGTAGGCACCTTGTTTTAGTCTGGAATCTAAGCTCTAAATTATACCTAGTGATAAATAAATGATTTTTATGACTTTTTTACTCTTCAAAAATTAAAACTGACCAACTAAACTTTTTCTGTTTGTTTTTAATAATTAACTGCTTCTTTTAGATTTGTATAGCATGATGAGTAATTGTACACCATTTTAATTTAATTTAATGCAGGCATAGAGGAAGATATTTAATATTTTGGCTTGGAATGCTTAAGAAAGACTTATGGTGTCAATTCTTATGGTGTGATGTAACCAGGAGAGATTCTGAAAACAAATCAAACAAAAGAAACGGAATCCTATCAATTCTTTTTATGTTTCATAAGCTACCAGATTAGTAATACTACTTCGGTTTTACAAGATGCTGGTTTGAACTCAGATGAAATATCCTAATAAATTTGGGATAGCAAACAACCATTGATAAATAAATTTATAAGATTTCAATAGACATAAGTCAGGTCAATTTGAAAAGTTATTCATTATATTCGTACTTCATTCACTTCTCATGTTGAGAAAATGTCAATGAAAAAACCTAAGGTCAAATATTATTCTAATTGGAATAAAATATATATCTTCCTAACAGATCAGATAAAAATGTGAGAGTTTAGATAATGGAATTCATTTACACTTTTCCACCCATGGCCAGAACAAATTAGTAACCAGTAATCGGCTTATCCTGTCCTTATATTAAATAAGGATTCCAACAACAAATTAAAAATAATAAAATAAAATATAAATTATTATATTAACAGTTATGATTGGAATCATGATAGAAAACACTAGTTTTAATCAAAATATAGTTCCCTTTTATTATAAAATATAGAAATTACAGTCTCTCTTACTGGCAATGTAAATATTCAATGAACTTTTTTATTGTAATAATTTTATAGATTTATTAATTTACAAATTAATTTTTTGCATTTTAGTTTTTGTGAATCAAGAACAAGGCAGCTCATTGAGTGAGGCTCTGTTCTCCCAATTAGGCCCAAGTTCAAGTCAGGGCATGGCAAATAATCATTTACTCTGCTACATCAGCTGTGGATGGAATGGAAAAATTAGAATATAAAAGCTCTTATATAAAGGAGGTGGATGCACACAGATCAAGGTGATCTGTGATCTCTTTGTACAGCAGATCCCATTCAGGGACTCTGATAGTACAATAGACAGTAATAGTAGTGGATTATCAGATTGCAGAATGCAAAGATAGCAGTTGGCCAAGATAGCTTGCGTTCTGAATATATAAGCATTAGACTTAACTTTCAAATTTCAAGATTTTACAATATTTTACTTGAATGTAACCACATAAATTTAAAAATAGAAGAATGATCGAAAACAAGGGCTTTAACAAACATTTGAATGAGATATAATAAAACAAATCGTCTAAAAAATTTTGAGAGCTTGAGTTAAAAAAGAACATATCATTAAGGTTTTGATTCAATTAATTACAACTAAAAAATCATCAAACACTCTTATTTGACTTTTAAACATATGAAATCTTAAGCCTGTACCTGAGTAGCCTTAACAATGTCAAAGTCACTCGCATCTTCACTAGCTGTTACTTGATTTTGTTTTGATTCCTGAAACATCTGAGGTGGAACTTGTTTTCCAGAATTCCCATAAGGATGTAAAGAACAAGGACCCTAGAAAGAGCAGATTTAGTATATGAAACTAATTTAGCTGATTTAGAATAAAAAAATTGACTGTAAATAAGTAAAAGAAAATGATATATCATAAGCAGTAAATGAACAAGTACTATGACATAACTCTTACATGCTCACTAATGTTTACTGGATTACAACCAGAGCAATATTCGGTGGGAATCATTTCTGACAAAAATAAGTTTCAACCAGTTCGAAATTTATAATTTACCGACAGTATCTGATCCATTAAGAATGGAAGCAGTGCAGTGATTAGACTCAATTTTCATTTTTTTCTTTTAATAAATAAAAAAGGGCTTATATCAACAACTTTTTTTAAATTGTTAATCGTGAAACTCATAAAAGTACCAAAATCATTCAAGGTTCTGTTTCAGATAACAGAGATGTTGCTATCGAAAAATGTTTTCATATTCGATTGATCCTTAGGCAAATGTACAGTTCGATTATCACATACACTATAGAGGTACATTTTGGGGTTTGAGTTAGAGTATACATTTAAAAAATTCTCTACAGAATTAGAATCTATAGTATCAAAGGTAGTTTCGAATGATTTCACTTTTTCCACAACCAAATCTATGCTTCAGTATTGACGAGATTTGTAACAGAGCAAATTTCGTCTTGGCAAAAAATACAGTTGATCATTTTACCACCAATCTGACGTTGTCAAACATTAGCCTGCTCACAGAAATTCAATTTCTTCTCCACTCCAAAACGGTATGATAACATCTAATTAGGCAATCAAACTGAATAAAAACATGAGCTGAACTTCCAATAACGAAACAACCGTAAATTAAAAATAATCTTTTTAAACATTCAAAATTCAGTAACAAATTTATGTAAAAATTTACCAGTATAATAGTCAAAACTATACAAAAAAATCTGGCAATGTCATAGCTTCTTGACTAATTCTTCTTCATTATTTTCATCCCATGACATTTCTAGAGACGAGGAGTTTCATCTAGCGCAACCACTCCTACCGGATTCGGTTTAACCGCTTCATCTAGTTGAGAAATTTTCCTCTTCTATTTCCATTCCTCTGTACGATCTTCTGGTATTTATAACACCACAGACTTCATGAATTTCATCCATAACATTTATAAATGAGTTGGCTTAAATTATCTCCCTATCTAACTACTCAAGCAATAAGAAAATGTTCTGTTACTATGCTGTTTATTCTTACCATTCCAGTTGCTCATTGGATTTTTTTTTTCCGTCCTCCCCTTCCTCGCCGTTAAGGCTATACGGGGTTTTCCCGGGCCAGAGGGTGTGAGTGGGGATTTAAAAGACCCCCTCGGGAACGGGACGCGAACTCGTGACTATTTTTGTATCATAGAGTAATATATCAGGTTGCCGGGCAACGGCGGTGCAGTGCACACGCTTTAGCCCATTCGGCCACCCCGCCCACCGAAAAAGCCCAAAGGCACCGGGATGCGAACTCGTAATTTTATTGTCTCCAACTTTGGTTATCAGGTTGCCAGGCAATGCAACGTGTGCACACACGTTAGCCCGTTCGGCCACCTCGCCGCCAACAGTGACTCATTGGTAAGTTGACTATGTGGCCTCCACTAAATCTTCAGGCACACCTTTGGCTACAAGAGCATTTCAAATTTTCTTTTTTCATATGCCACCCTCAGATCAAGAAATGTAAGATATCGATTTTTGACTTTTTCAGTTTCACTAAGAAAAAATAATTCTATGAAATTTGATAAACTATAATAGTACATCTAGGTATCAACCTCTTCTTCATATTGGTTTTCCATTTTCTGCCACAACACAGTATGAGATGTCCTTCCTCCTCTTCCACTCCAGACCTCGTCTGTTCAACGCGTCTTTCATTCCTTCAAACCAAGTCTTTCTTGAGGTATTTTTCCTTCTGACAGCTTCATAGGAGTCAATGCAAGTCATATACAATCGAGACACTTGTCCGAATTACCTCAAGCGATCTTCTTCCAATATTTCCTTGATTGGTCTCATATCGAGGCTCGCACTAATCAGAGTACATCTCACACGGTCCTGTCTTGTCTTTCTCTCGATCTTCCTAAGGTATCTTATTTCCATTGATTGAATCTGACACTTGTGTTTAGTTGTGAGGATCCGGGAGGCGGGGTGGCAGTGCGTGTGGACAACACCGCGTGTTGCCCGGCAACCTTGTAACCTAAGTTTGAGATAGAAAAATAATTACGAGTTCAAATCTCAGTGCTCGGTGAAACTTTTAGCTCAGCATGATTCAACTGCCCTCTCTCCAGGCCCTGAAAAAAACCCGTGTAGCCTAAAAGGCAAGGAAGGGGAAACAAAGAAAAAAAAAAAAAACCGTGAGGATCCAAGATTTGTTTGTATTTAACAGTATTCTTAATATTTCTTTTTTTCGCAGGATGTTAGTATTCAGGGAAGCGAAACATTTTCTCCACTGTTGTTATTTGTCCTTTATCTCACTTTCCATCCGTTCATGCTCATTCAGATGGGATACAAGGCCTTTATAGTCGCTCACCTGTTCTATTTCCACTCCATTAATACTATTTAGTTTTTTTTTTCTTCCTATCCTAATAAATCAGGTTTTCTATAAATATATTTGTCATTAGCTCTTCTTGGAGGATTACTCCCAAATACGTTCAAGTTGTCCGCAAAAGCTGTGTATCTTACTTTTTGGAGTCTTCAGATGTCCACTTGAAACTGTCTTATGTTTGGTTGAGATTTTCTAAGGGCGATTTCGAGAGTAATTTTGAAAAAAGAGCGAGTTAAACAGCAACTCTGCTCGATGTTGATACTGGTCATGAACTCTTTGGAGGTGTGGTGGGATGTTGTGACTGTTTCTCTGTATATGATAGATTATAATAGCAGGTAGCAATCTTCACAATTGAATTTCTAATTTTTTCTTATTTCTTTACAGAAAGTATTTAAATTTGGTTTAAGAAGCACGAATACGATTAAGAAGAACTAATAATAATATCATTTTAGGCAAAAATATTAGCTACAGCGTTTTCAAACCAAAGTTACATATTTATAATCTCATAAATTATGGTATAAATTTTACTTCCCATTCCATAGTTTCTCTGCCTACCTCTCTTTACAACCACTATATTCCTAAATATTAGTTATAATTGTAAATGATACGTTGTTGAATTAATACCAACTAGATCATTTGCTAAACAATTCCTAATTTCGCTCAAAATTTAGGAAACACTGAACGCGCAGTTTTGAGATATATAGGTACAGTGCCAACCTTAGGGAAGAGCATTTGTCCGTGTGCGCCAGCATAAAGAGAGGCAGACGCCACCTGTTATTGAATTTAAATCAAAATACAAAGTATGCGACAATAATTTTCAGTCTATTAATAAATTAACTGAATTAGAGACATATTGAACGAAACATAATTCAGATATTATTTCATATAACAGCATAAGAAAAAATATATATATTTTGGGAGGGATGACGTCGTCCTAGGTTTCCAAATGACTAAGGTCGATGCTAGAGGCATAGGTGTATCAAGAGAATACGCTTGCACATTCTAAGAGTAAATAAGGGATGCGATTCGATAAAATTGATACATCATTTTTTTTTATACATCTACTTTTGTCCAAATCGAACGAGCCGTTTCTGAAATACAAGCATGTCTAATAAAATACATTTACCGGTGCACAAGAAAAAGTATTGAAGGTATTTTTATAACATTGGTACGGAATCATCTAGGCACCACCTTCATTACCACGGTAAATTTCATTAAAATTAGATTAATTTTAGATAAGTCCATCGCATTAGAGGCGGATCTACGGAAGGAGAGGAGTTTTCGGGCTGAAGCCTTCCCTCCCCTCCAAAATGGTAAAATGCAACTATGTTTTATAGAAAAAAATTACCTCTTAAAGTATTATTGTTCGTGTAATTACATTTAATAGGACTTCAAGAACCACTTAAACACCATTTCATATTGGTAGTTAATATTTTTTTTTTCAAGTAATTATAGTTATATATATGAAAAAAAAAAAAACTTTCGGGCTGGAGCCTTCCCCTCCTCACCAAATTAAATCCTGGATCCGCTAGTGCATCACATTGATTTGACTACAGAACCAAATTTGGTTCCTGATTTCGAAAACGTAAAAATTTTCCCCTTCTGGCATAAAGAATTTAATGGTTTTGAGTGAGTATCAAGTAAAACTGTCATGAGCCAAACACTGGAAAATAAGAAGTACCGTTAGGTATAGAAGAGGGGTCTAATCTTTTTGCTTCACGGGCCACGTTGAGACCTTCACAACGAAGTCCAGTGGGGCATTAAGGCCTCAAATAAGTCCTGCCAGCAGCATTGAGACCTGCAATAAGTCCCCAAGGCCATGGGTTGTGATGAATAAATGACATTTTAGTTGTAAAGTGTGCTTTATAAAAGAAGCAATAAATGTTATAGAAACCTTCTGTTTCTGTGATTTACTAAATTTCATATTTTTCATATAGTTTTAAGTCAACCATGTAATCAAAGAAACTTTGGCAGGGCGCAAGGTCAATAAAACTACCACTACTACTAGGTAGTTTTATTGACCTTTGGAGGAGGGGACTGGAGGTTATTGCTGACTAGTTTGGAGACCACTGGTATAGAAAAACAATTTGATTTACAAAAATTTAATACTAGCAAAAAATAATAAAATATTATTTTGAGATTTTTATTTGGTGAACCATAAATATAATGGTCCAACATGTATTCCTTCTCCACATACTGCTGATTAAATTGGAAACCATTTTTAGATTGTTTGGAATAGATAGGTATATAACTCCCTAACCTAAGAAAATAATCTACTGGCTGATTTGGAACAAGAAAAAGTTTTTGAGAGAATCTCACCCATGGAACTGTTAACCTACACGATTCTCTAGCTGTACTGGATACTGGTGATCTTTGCTTCTTCACAGATTAAAGGCTCTTGGTAAAGCCATTCCAGGCAGATTCCTATACTGTAATCCACATTATTTTATCTGAATAGTAATATTGAATATAGCTGGGACATTTGCTGTAGAAACAACTAGCAAGTGGGCTGACCTCTTGAGATAGCAGTTGGTTCAAACTAACAAAGGAACTCGATAGGCATATGAGTTAAACAAGATATCTTCACAGCTTAATGGTAAAATGTTGAAAAAGATTATTACAGTAGAACATATTAGATGATTTAAACAAATCAACTTAGATGAATCATTTGAATAAATAAAGAGGTTGATTTGAAAGCTAAACAAAAATTTAATATTTTTCATCAAGGTGGTGAAATTCAGAAATAAGTTTTGGCTAGAATAAGATGATCCAGATTTAAACATTTGAATAGAGATCCTCAGATAACAGCAGAAAGCTCTGAGAATGAATATGACAAGGACAAAGCAGATATCAACACTAAGTCCGAACAAGTGAAATTAAATAGGATTTGAACAATGTTATCAGATATGTCGTTGATAACAATGATAAAACCATACATGAATATTGTCAACTTTCGAGGAATCTGCACAAGTTAACTATAAAATAAATTAATCTCAAAGGTTAACAATAAAAGATGAAGTTTTCTTTTTTCAAATTAGTAAACAAGCATGTTGAATGTAATCAATGAAGGTGTGCCTCGATTTTCAAGTTCTAATTTTGTGCTACATTAATTATTCTTTAATTTGTTGGACCTTATACCCGAATTGTTTTATATCTTGAAAACTAAATAACGATTTAATTTCCTAAATTTAAAATAGACGTTTTTATTGAATAGATTGGTTTAAATACATATTTTTTCAATCTCCACACTTATTAAATCAGAATACCTAGAACCAAGTTAGTCTGAATTGGATGAGGTTCTACTGTACAAATAATATTAGGGTACAAAAACAAAATAATGATGGTTTCTAAAAATAAAAACACATAGTATAAAATCTATATATATATGTATGTATGAAACTAGTGCATATTTTCACTTTTTTATTGAAGTGAGACCAAATAGGGGTACCTTGTTTTTAAAATTAACTCTTTATATTTAATAATATACAAATTATGATCATTATATATACACTGAAAATTATCACACAATGCAGTTAAAAAAATTATAAGAATGAACTGCAAAAATTATCAAGTTAAGTCATACATTAATTAAATAAAGTAATCCAGATTTTTATGAAAATATCCAAACTTTGAAAAATTTTAGCTCATGCATAATGGATCTATATAATTTATTAGTTGTATAAAAATTAGCATTATTTTCAACAATAGATTATATGCAGCGAAAAATGATGAATACTAATTCAATAAAAAGAAGTCAATAAAATAATTTTATCTTACGTGTTAGTCAACTTGAGAAAACAAAAATAATTAATTTTTAACTAAACATAATAATTGAAAAATGTACAGATACAAAACTCATTCATATATTTAACATACTATTAGCATATATAAATATAAAAGTAACTAAGAGAAATACATATGTAGATAATAAATATTTCTTACAGCATATCATTAGGAATGCTAATTCTTATGAAAGTCACAAGACAACGTTATATACAGATTCTGGATAATACATTATTTTAAAAATTAAATTATATCTTAAATTTGAACCCAACTGCAATTAAATAGCAAAATACTCACAAGTAGGAATTTCAACACTAAAAGTAATTATTATTAATAACATGAGTATTTAAGATAAAATAAAATATAAAAAAAAAAGATAGGTTTTCAGAATGAAATGGAAGCACTAATAATAGTCGTTTTAACGCACAATAGGCCTAATGAGGTTAGCGTACATTGCCAAAAAAAAAATTAACAAGACAGATATAATAAAGAATTAATTTCATTTTTAAAGGGGGAGAAAAAAGTAACAAATTCTTGCTTCATATAAAATACCTATTCTCATTTAAAAATGAAAATTTAACATAACAGAAAGAAAACCATTTTCAAAGAATGAAACTTCTTAATTTGAACCAGAAGATTAATATTTTGTATTATACACACTAGATTCTAATTTATTCTCCCCCTCCCTCTTAAATACAGAGTAATTTCAGTAATCTGAAAAACACAACCAAACTTGAAAGAAAAGAAAAAAAACTAGACTTAGAGAACCAGACAAATTTTTAACGAAAGTTGTCCACCTGCCAAGTCAAAACCCCTAAAATTTTCTTAGCGCATACCCAAGCAAGCGCAAACATTCTTCCCATTATTTTTAGAGAATCCATCACCTTTTTTTTTATAAAAATAGAATGAGAGTAAAGCATGAAAATGTAGTGCGTGGTTTTAACCACAATACATTTAACAGAAAACAGTAAAGAATGTGCTGTGGGTATTCTCCAACATTCAAGAGAAGAAACAGTGGGAAAGGTTTCCCAAAAGTCAAATCAAACTTAACTTTTAAAACAAAATTATGTTTTCAAGTGGGGGTATATGCACGTATCCATTACAGTGTACTTTTCTCAAACACATTGTAATCCTTATTTTTTAGTGATTCCAAAACCTCCTCCCATTTCAGCAATTAATTCGGATAGCAGAGATACATTGTATATGCAGAATCAAATAATTAGTTAAATTAAGAAAATAAACTTTTCCTTATAAAAACACAAATTGAATAAGATAATATTTAAAAAACAGAATAGCAAATTAAAATTTAGTTTCAAAATCAAATAATAAATATCTGTTGTTGAAATATTATTTACATCTACTCAAGAATATCAAGAATAGATAAATTCAATTTTATACTTCAATTTTTATAAGACAAAACTAATGAAGAACTAGAAACATTGTGTGCATTTTTCTAAGAAATCAGATTTAACGATATGGTCAAGAAAATAAAAAGAAATAAGCTCAATTTTCATAGGAAAATTTTATTCAGGAGTTCTGAATATATATCCACAAATAAAATATGTGACAAAAAAAAAAGAAAAAAAAAAAAGAAAAATGGTGAAGAAAACAGCAATTTCATAAAAGAAACAATAATAAATAATGTAAACAATTGATAACATAAACGGAAGTCTAAGATTTAATAATGAAAAAAAAAATATATAGCTGGAATAGAATTGTCACAATATTAATATAATTATATTACTGAAATAAAACAATATATGTATTCAAAAATATAAGGTAAAAAAAAAAATCTTAATTGTTATAAAGCTAAAACAAGGCACCAGGTATTTGTATTGTAGTTAAATGTAAAAGACATACAATATATATAATAACAAGAAAACTAAATGACTTTTTACAGTAATCAAAGGCCCAAATCTTAATATACATGCTTATGTATGCATGTAAAAATATTTACCAGTTTTTTTTTCCATGATAAAAAAAATAAATACAAACAACCTCTATAAATTACTTCAGGGTAAAATATGACAGATGAATTAGGCTAGAATTTAATGTACAATGGTTATATTAACTTAAAATGTTTAAGCCTTACAATAATATATTTATATATACATATTTATTTTGCGACCAATGAAATAAATCCATCAATATAAATATTTTATAAAAAATTTTGACTTTCCTAACAATCACTTCAATAATGATAAAAAATAAATTAATTTTATTAATTTATAGGAAATAATGTACCTATATAATGAACAAGTTCTAAGAAAAGACATTTTGAAAGATACAAATTAATGTGATATAAACAATTATATAGTTTACAAGTACTATTATTAAAGGGTAGTTCGCTATCAATAATAATATATCCAATACCCAAAAACAAAAAGAATTTCAATAAAAAAAAAAAAAAACTGAACAAAATAAATAGTAACGAGTCTTTGAAAATATTTCTTCTTGTCAATCCACCTTGTAACAGCTCTTGAGACTTTATTCAATTATTTTCAGAACTTTTCCAATAGCAATGGTTTTACCTGTGAAAATAGATATATGCATATTTATTGAATATATTTATTATAAAACATATGTACATGACTCAAAATGATCTTTTTTTATTATAAAAAAATGTAACAAAAACTGATTGAAAAAAAAAACACAATATTAATGTAGTGTTACATATTTTGCTATTCTGTAGATGTATCAGTATCAGTTAAGTAAAAATATATACTGTTTGTGTATAAATGAATGGTTACATAACGGAAAGATTTATCTTTGGTCAAAAGACAGAAATATTTAGAAAACTCACTTTTTTATTTGGTCTGATTTTCTATTGTGTTCCGTAAATATGAAACTTGTGTATTGAGTTAATGTTAGGTAAGGTAACTACTTTACCTCCATTTAGTCTCACTGATTTAGTTCATGCAATTTGAGCCAAAATTAGGAAAATAATGATTATGTCATAGGTGGGGGGGAGAACCTACGGTCTCGTAAAAGTTTTTGTATGATATTTATTAATCTAGCACTATATTTAATTAATATGTAATTTTTCATTAGGCGGGACCAATAGGCATATCAATCACTATAATATTTAATTAATTCAGTTACAAAAATATGAAAATTAATGGAATTAAGTTGAACATATTTTATATGGGGGTGTGTGTGTGTAGTGATAAATAAAAATAGCAACAGTAAAATATAAAGAATTGTTGTGACTTCCATTAGCATTGCCTGAGCTTACTACGGTCTCTATGATAAAAAGCTTTTCTACCATCATTACTTACTTATTTACTGCTGGACAATCCTTGGAGAACCTGGGCCTCCTGAAGGACTCCAAGCCTTCATTTTTGTCTCTCGCTTATGTCCTCCGTCTTCTTACTCCGACCAACTTGAGGTCCTCGTCAACCTCTTCCATCGCTCCTTGGCCTTCCTCTGTATCGCCTCCCTAAAATTTTTCCATATAGCAGGCATCTTGGAATTCTATTCTCTGGCATCCTTTTCACGTGTCCGAGCCATCTCAGGTGGGCTTTTTCACAAATGATATCAGGTCTCGTTTGCCATACACTACACCGAGATCATAATTGTTTCTTAACCGTCACGTGCCATTTTCTCTTATTGGCCCATATATCCTCCAGAGTATTTTTCTTTCCCAGACATTGAGTTTCCTTTCGCTTTCACTGGTCATTACCCAGGATTCACTGATATATGTAACTATGGGTCTCAGTACAGTTTCATAAATTTTGAGTTCTGCTTTTTCGGAAAGAGCTTTAAACTTAAATGTTTTTTGTATGGCATAAAGGCACTTGCTACCTGCAGCTAGTCTAGCATTCACTTCTTTTTTTATGCTGTTGTGATGTATAATGACTGAACCCAGGTACTTAAACATGCCTGTACTTTTAAAACTGTGATTGCCAATCTGCAGATCATGGTATTCCAGTTGTTGGTGCCTGTAAGTTTTTAAATATTTTGTTTTCCCTTCATTTACATGAAGGCTCACTTCTGCTGCTTTCCTTTCAAACTCCTCAAAAGCTCCTCCTAGTGCTGCAGTGTTTCTTGCCATTATGAGCACATCATCCGCATATGCCAAGTGCTGTGTGAGCACCTGGCAATCATAAATTGTTCCATTAGGGTTGGTTTGTATTGGCCCAATAGCTTTTTCCAAGGTTAAATTGAAAATGACAGGTGATAGTGGGTCTCCCTGCCTCAGCCCACCATTTACTGCAAATTCATCTGATAGCATTCCCTGTATTTTTATCTTCATCCGGCTATCATGCATCGTCATTATTGCTAGCCTAGTCAGGTTCTTGGAAATTCACGATTCAAGCATTATCTTCAGTAATTCTTCTCTATCAATACTGTCCTATGCGTGCTTGAAATCGATAAATAAATTATGGAGGTAAACGTGAAATTCATATCCCCTCCCTTTCAAGAATTTGTCTTAATGAGAAGATTTGATCAATGGTTGATCTTCCAGGCCTGAAACTACACTCATAATCTCCCACTATCTGTTCGGAAAACTTTAATGTATGCCACTAATACCAGGAGTCTTATTGTTCCTTAATTCACCAATGATTTCTTCAACTTCTTCCTGTTCAGGCGGCTCTACTTCTTTATCTCCTCCGGGTACACCCAATCCGGCATTTCAGCAGCTTAATTCTTTTCTCTCTATCTTGGTGCTTGTGTTCTACAAGAATTTTTCCTGGAATATTCAGACCATCTCTGCAATATTTTAGCAGGCTCACCTATTATGGCCCTTCTTTTGTCTTGAAGTACGAGATATTAGGTTGGAAGCCTCTTTTTATTTCCTTAGTGCCTTCATAAAACTTCCTTGTGTTCTTTGAGCTATGATGTTTCTGGAGCTCCTCTAACTGCATATTTAGTCAAGCTCTTTTATTCTGACAGACATTATTTCTTTTTTTTTTCCCTTTGGTTAATGAGTTGCGTGCATTTTATTAAGATAATGGCTTCCGATTTCTTTATTTCTTGTTTGATTCACTATATTTAAATTTAGTAGTAACTAACTAGTTATAACGCAACCTAATCACTGCAAGGCTAATCAGACATACATATATTAAGAGTTGTGGGCAGAGACAAGAATCTTGAGGAGGGAGACTAGCTTTTTTTTGGATATAAAATTGAATATTGGTAAAGAGAGAACTGAAAATATATATAAAACCCTTAAAGTATACCGAAGTATAAACTTTACCTGCAAGTTGAATCACATCCTATTTTCAAATTGTATCCTCACCTACATGTCTAACTAACCATTTACAATATGATCACTCAAAATCTGATAAATTATAAATAATTAATGTTAAATTAAATTAGTAACAAAAACGCTTGCCTTCATCCCTGAGTGTAAACCTTCCCATTTGTGGAAAAAGTTTGAATTGCTCCATACAAATAACGCCGGCACATTCTATCCTCATGATGGCAACTTGGTCCTGCTTAACAAAACGGGGTCGTGATCTTGTTTTTTCACCGGTCTTTTTATCTATCAGACAAATCAAGGCTTTAACAGTTACTTCTTCAGCGACGCAATGGATATGCATTACAGCTGAATAACCAGCACATATGATACTTTTGTGCTCAAGGATTACAACCTGAAAAAAAAAAGTTAAGAATAAGTAGATAGATAAAAATATTCTTTTAATCTAATAGTGAATAGTTCATATATTTAGGTTAATTCAATATAAATGATTTCTGGTAAGATTGTAATTAACTATTAATTAATCTGAAAATTCAAAAATAATTTTTTAAATTATATAAAACATAAAATTTTCACCTTGGGGGCTAAGAAATGACAATCTAAAGTATATATAATTACAAATTTGGCTGTAGTATTAACTGAAAATCACAATATTCAATTTATGACACCAAAACAAAAAACGGCAGCTGGGTGGGCTAACGCATGTGCGTAGCACCCCACATAGCCCGGCAACCTGATAACCGAAGTTAGATAGAAAAATATTACAAGTCAAATCCCGGTATCCGGTGGGAATTTTAACTTGGCATAATTCTCCCGTCCTCTCCTCCGGACTGGGAAAAACCCCATGTAGCCTGAAAGGGGAGAAAAAAATATATAAAAGGCACCATTTTTTATTTGAATTTCTTAATTAGTTTAAGAATTACTGTCTTAAATTTTCTTTTCTTTCAATTTCAACGTTCCAATCAACAACTACTGAAAAGAAAGAATCTTATTACTAAAAAATTATTAGAAAATAATTTGCCCAAGTCTCTCTATATAAACTACTCGATAATAAACTTCTTCCAAAAGTTCATTTTCAAATAAACGTAATGTTATGGAAAAGATATTATATATATTAAATAGTATAGAAAATGGAGACACTCTAGCAAATTAGCTGGTAATAAATTTAGTAATAATAGGACTTTCTGTTCTTGATTCAGTTAGGAGATAAAAGTTAAGGATTAAAACAGATTAACTTTTGTTATCAATTAAAAAGTATGTTAAAGTAAAGTACCACCTGCTGCAACACCTCACCAAAGTTGCCCATGAAACCATTTGGGTTGGCTAAGCCTGATTTAGATAATAAGAAATTTTTAATATAGATGACAGAACTACACTGTGTGGCACTGCTTTAAAGATTTTTCAGAATGAATAAATGGATTACGTTATTATTTATGACTTCTCTCTTATGCATAGCACTATTTATATTTAAATATTTATTGTTCATAAAAAATTTAAGGTAATAGAGATTTTTTCATTGCTTCGGAATCTAACTCCTTTTATAGATTCTTTGAAGGACATGTATAAAAAATTGTAACAGGGAAACAAGTTTGAAAAATGGATGGGTGTATAAAGGTTTCTCAGTCCATTTCTTACAATTTCTTCCAAGTCAATAATATGACTTTAAGGTGGTAAATGATGAAACCTCTAATGTGCGTCTTCATACTTTTTTGAAGTTAACCAACTACTGTCATATCATTCCTACTCCTGTTGAAAACCTTCAACATATAAACCAGCAATCACATTCAATAAGGTTTAAACAGCATGAAGTTACCAAATGTAAAACTTGTACACAGCCACCTGATTGACTTTAGTTTTTAGTAGATTTTTTCTTCCTCATCCTTAAATTTTCTAACCTATGTATACACTCAATTACAGGACAGTGTGTACAATCAGTATCTTCAAACAGTGTCACCAAATAAGTATATTTTTCTAAGGATTTAACACCTTTATTGGTTAAAAACTTTATGATTATGAGACAAACAAATACACCTCCTTCTCGATAATGACATACGGAGGATAGGAAAAGTTGTGACACACTGTGGATTGTGGTAAAACAGTGTATAGTATGCAGGAGACTACATTGAGAAATGCTGAAAGTATAGTTAATATCATAAAAAATAAATGGGTTGAAATAAAAATTAATATAAACAAAATAATTGTATGCTATAGTTTTTATCACTAGAGCTAGATAACAACTTACCTGAGCATCAAAAACACGTCCAGTCCGAGCAGGGGAGCTGGGATCACAGAGCACGAATCCTGGAGAAACATCTTCTTCTTCCACACCTTTCAGTTTCGCTTTAATATTTTCACCAGGGCCTACAGAAGTTACTTCTTCATCATCAGACCAGAGCTGATCCACGACAACAGGTGTCTAAAAATGAAGAAAAATAAGATAATACCACAAAAATTATCCCCACAAAATGTTATAAAGCAGTATTAAACTGGAATTGATCATAGTATATGGCCCTTTGAGAAACTTTGATAAGATGGTGGACTTAACCAATCAAGCTTTAATACGTGGAGAAATATATTTTCAAATATCCTCCTGCTTATATTTAATCATATAATGTTATCAAGTCTTGAGTGTGCCACCTCGAATGTTCATTGGACTATGTAAACCTTTGTGGACATTTTATCCTCTTAATCTACATTTTGGGGTATGTGAAATACAATAAACTTTTTTTAATTTTTTACAATACCATTAGGAGTATTCAGTTTAAATTCTTATGTAACAGATGTAAATAATTTATTTTTTGATTATGTTTATTTTTTTACAATCACTACAACGGTTTGCTCGTAAAATTAATTTAATGTTTCTTTCCAATTTTATTCAGTTATTTTGCAGAAATGTGACCCTATTGCTCATCTGATTTCTTTAATATATCTTTATAGTTAGCTATATACTTGTTTATTATATATGTTTTAGTTATTCTTTAATTGTAATAGGTCTTTTGGCCAGATGTAATGTTAATTTGTATGAACAATATTGTTATTGTTAAGGTACTTTGTCCCAGAATAAAACAACATTCTCATTATTGGAAAACTAAAATAAATATGGAGTATCTAATGGTTGAACATTATATAATATTGAGGAAGGAGATGGTTGGAGATGGCGGTCATAAATAGCAATGGTGGTCATTTTTCACTATCTTAATTTTTAATGACCCCGGACCATCTCTTTCCTCAATAAAATAAATATTATATTAAATAAATGAAATTAATTGGTATTGTCCTAGTATATTATGAATTCATACGTCATCATAGTACACAATGTGTTATAGGTAGATTGTGGTCAACAGTTGACTTTTTTTTTTAGTTTTATACCAGGTTGATTATGCTAAAACTAAAACTGTTTGGCTTAAGAAAATCTATTGGGTGTTAAACAAAGTTTGATAATGATAATAAAAAAAAAAATTGCAATTTTTCCATAGTGATTTGTAATGCCATAATATATGATAATGTAAAAGAAACTCACTCTGTTAGGCATGATGATCAAAGATTGGCCTTTCTTCATTTCTCCACTTTCAACCTTTCCCATGACCACGGTACCCATATCTTTATATTTTTCTACAACAGGCATAAGGAATGGACCATCCATTTTACGATTCAAGGATGGCAAATTGTCTATAAAGGTTATAAAAGGTTCTCCTCTGAAAATTAAGAAAATAATATAAAAATTGTGTTAACATGGTTATCTTTAAATAGTCTTAAAACTGATCACTTTCAAAACTAATCTATTAGATAAGTTATGTTAAATATAAGGGTCTGAACTGCAAAACTTATTAATTCCAATTTTCTGCTTTCTCAATGCTGGAGGTAGGAAAGTTCTGTATTTTTATTTTTGGAGTAAAAACTTCTTTAGGCACATTTTGCTCTTTTTTTTTTTTTGTGCAGAGTGAATTAGATTGATCCATCAGATTTCCGTGTACCGCTCAGGTAAAGTTGGCTAGAGTCGACTAATTGAAGTGTTTTTGCATATGGATTTAATAATCTCAAGAACTAAAAATCTGACCTGCATACTGTAATTGAGAGAGTTGTTCAGCATTTCATCCTCTCTATAATGAGCTATAATTCAAAATTGTATCTTAACGCGACACCATCGTGTTACTGAGGCGAATAATGAATGGCATGAAATAAATATGTAATATCGAATGGTTAGCAACTATTTGACTGTTTTTGGGATAAAAATTGGAATAGGAGGGTTTTGAATGTGGATATGGAGGGGGAATACCGAATTTTGATAGGGAGGTAATTCCAGAAATTGACAGAGCGAGCAATAAAGGAGTTTTGGAATGAGGCAGATCTGTAAGAAGGCATGTAAAGGTTAGAGCGTTGAGATCTTGTGCAAAGGGGAATGTGGGGAGGCGTAAGGGGGGATGGTGTAAGAAGAACGATGATTGTAGATGATTCAATAGAGGAACGTATCTAGGAAATATTATCTTCGGAAGGAGGGAAGAGACACCTTAACTCAGTATAGTAATGAGACATCGCTGTATCTAAGGGGCCCCAATTACAAATCTTAAGCAGTTGCTCATTAGTCTTTATAATCTATCGTGGAGCTCCACAGAGAGGCCATCATACACCACACAGCTATAATCAGAGTGGGGGAAAATGAGAGAGGAAACTGGAAGTCTATGTGTATGTTGAGGTAGAATATGGCGGAAGCGATGGAATAATTTAAGGAATGTAAATGTGAGAGTTGTGAGAAATAAAGTGATTCCAGGAAAGGATCTGATCAATGAAAAATCCTAAATTTTAAACAAAGGAGTAGAAGGAGATTGGCTGGTCATTAAGGTGTAGAATGGGAAACTTGGTATGGGATCTAAGAAGAGGCTTGGAACCAATGACCATGGCTTGAGTTATGACAGCATTTAACTTTAATCCGTTTACATTTGCCCAGGCGCTGATTTGATCTAGGTTTTCTTGAATCATGAAATTGAAAACTTCTTACAGGCAAAAATGTCAGATTTTTTCGATATTTTTTGGGTTTTTCATCTATAACTCCTAAATAATGCATCAAAGCGAAAAATGTGTTCTTAAATAAATTAAAGAGCGTTAAATGTTGCGTCAAACGAGTACATATACTTTAAAATTTAGTTTCGCGGTAAGGTAACAACCACGGTCAACCAACTCTGAGTTTTACCAAATTTGCCAAAAGCTGGGGCAAATTACTATAAATGGCCCTGCAACCTGGAAATGAGTTCCCTAAGAGGAAAAACCCATAGAATCAAAGTTGTAGAGCATCAAATTTTGCGTATACTGGGTACTGACATTTTTATTATTGGCCAATTATATATCTCGAATTGGGATTCGTTATTCCTTTATAAAATTCGGTACATTTCGGCACATCGTTTACCAAAATCTTTTGCTATTGAGAGGTGGAAAACAGGCTTATACTGCATGTAACAGACTTTAAACAAAACTAACTCAGTAGAATAGACACCCATACTATTGAAATATTGAAAATCACGTTTACCTTCATTACCAATTTTTAGCCATCGGGAGATTACCGATTTTGTTCGCAGCAAGTGACCTACATTAAATTAGTTGATACTGAGTATACGCGAAATTTAATGCTCTACAACTTTGATTCTATGGATTTTTCCTCTTAGGGAACTCATTTCCAGGTTACAGGGCCATTTATAGTAATTTGTCCCAGTTTTGGCAAATTTGGTAAAACTCGGAGTTGGTTGACCGTGGTTGTTACCTTACCGCGAAACTAAATTTTAAAGTATATGTACTCGTTTGACGCAACATTTAACGCTCTTTAATTTATTAAAGAACACATTTTTCGCTTTGATGCATTATTTAGGAGTTATAGATGAAAAACCCAAAAAATATCGAAAAAATCTGACATTTTTGCCTGTAAGAAGTTTTCCCTTGGTGGCCTGCGTTAGCAATTTTGTTTTTTACATGTCTAAACCCATATATACAAGTTAAAAAAATAGAAACTTTTCTCACATTTTTCGCAATGGATATCCCGTTTCGTTCCTCAAATTACTGGCTATTCTTTAAATCAGCCACCATTTTTTAAAGCAGCGGCTCTGGAACGGCAGACAATGTTTTTTTTACTCAGAATAACATACACTTTTGTAATTTACAATCAAACCTTCGCCTGCGATCAGGTCGATTTTTGGGCTCTGGCTCCAGGGTTATATGGAATTGGTGTGGGATTTCATCCCATCGGTTAAAAGGTCTGTGGGGGAAATGTCGGAAAAATAAAAGTTATTGTCGTTAAATGATATCTCTGGAGAAAAGCCAGAAGAAGAAAGGTATTAGCAACAGATATAAAATACGAATTTAAATCATCAGGGGATACTGGAAAGGCTGAAGTAGTGGATGATCTGGAAGAATCACAAACGGAAAGTTTACGAAGTAATAGCCATTTTGATTTGACATCAGAAGATGAGGAAAAGGCTTCAAGGAAGTAGGTGGATTTTGCATGCCGGATTCTTACCTGTGTCAAGTCACGAAGCACGCTAAACGCTTTGTAGTCATTTGCAAGCCTAGTACGTCTAAAGCGTCTACGGGCAGCGTAACGTCTCTTCTGCAGATCTTTGATTTCCTGACACATCCAAGATGAAGGCCAGTGAAGAAAGATAAAGGGTTTTGAGAGGGGCATGGGTATTGAGGATATTGAGAAAATTAGTAATAAGAATATCAACTATAGAGTTGATAGAAGAGTAAGAATATATTCCATTCCAATCAAGGATTTTAAGGTCAGGTAATATTTTACCTAGTGTAAGAGTATCCAGATGATGGAAGGTGATAGTTCGAGTCTGGATAGGAGATAGGAGGAGTTCAGATATTATAGGTTATTTATATCAGATCGTGAGATGATAAACAGAATACTGGCAGTAGAGAAGAGAAAAGGAGGTTTTGAGCAGAGTCTACAACCTAGAATAATGTAGGAATTCGTCATAGTCGTCAGGGAAGGATTGAGAGTTAACATGAAAGGTGATCAGGGTACTAGACATGAGAAAGATTTGGAGGAGAAAAGTCAGTTTGGCAGAGAAACATTAAGACAAATAAAACATACAAAAAAGCTATTATAATTAATAAAAATGAGAAAAACAAATGTGTATACAGAAACAAAACATAAAAAGCATGTAGTTAATAAAATATAAATTAATGTATGAAAGTGAAGGGATAGCTCCAAGAGTAGTTATATAATATAACATAGTTATATAATATAATATAGATATAATGCAGCAAACAAAGCTTAAAGAATCAAGGTTCTGAATATATATCAATTTTTTTTTTTGTTTAGTTTGAATAACTAAGATATATATATATATGTAATTCACACGATAAAAGCTAATATTGTGAAAACATTTTTTTGCTTCATCTAATGAAAAAACTTGAAGAAAACACTATTTTTTAAAAATATCTTAATGCAATCCTACCTGTACCATGGGCAGGTTTTAGGGTCTAGCGCGTCCTTCAATCCAAGTCCTGTGAGTCCGGACACAGGCATAAAGGTTAGGTCTTTGGCTGGATTGAAACCAAGTTTTTTGAGATAAGGAAGTATTTTATCTCTACATTCTATATACCTGTTTCAAAAGAAATCAACAATATAAAAAGGTATACTGGATTGATATTTATATTAATAGTTGTTTAAGTCCATACAAATAGAACGTTAAAGATATATGAATAGTGCATACCTTTCTTCAGACCATAAAACTGTTGGATCATCCATTTTATTAATAAGGACAACCATATGTTTCACACCAGCGGTTTTGGCTAACATAGCATGTTCCCTTGTTTGACCTCCACGGTCAAAACCAGTCTCAAATTCTCCTTTTCTAGCAGATATAACCTAAAAAATAAACAGATCAATTACAAAACAGATAGCTTGATAAATACAACATTCTTAACTGTCATTCAAATGAAAATTTGAACAATTTACACTTGGGAAAATAAATAAAGCTTTATTTCAATATATATTTAACTATTTTTTTCTGGAATAAACTGGAGTCCTACTAATCTAGACTATCTGCAGATGAAGCCCATAGAATACTGAAAATCCAAATCAAATGGAATTCATTCAAAAACACAGATAAAATGTATTGGCAATTTTTTTTTTCTAATAAATTACCTTTTCCTTCAGCTTAATTTTATTTTCAATAAAATCACCAATCTATATTGTGGCTTGTCACCATAGTATCTCCTCTCTCCTATATCCTACCACATAAACTATACATTTATCCTTAATCATAAAGGAGCTTGTTTTAAAATATATTTATCTACATTAAAAATCTGGTAAGGTACACGCATCACACACCTTAAGCCGAAATGTTTTCAAATTTTATATATTCACTTGTATAAGGAGGAGAAAGTAGAAATTCTGGACTGTATAACATACTCATTTAAAACAATTAATTACCATACAAAACATTATTACTAAATTTAAAATATAAAAGGAAATATAGGTTAAAGGCAATATATAAATATTTAAAAATAAATGATTGTTGACCAGACAAATTGAAAAATAAAATAAAATGTATAAGTGGATTTTTTTGAAAAATTCTGAGCTTAATTCGAAATATATATCACGGAACACATTAAAAAACTAAATTAATGATAGTAGATATATATAATAGATATACATATATTAATAGATCCTTAGCATTTAGGGACATTTTGTAGGCAAGACGCATCCATTCTGGATGTAGGATGAATCTTGCATCTTGATGAAAGGGCTTTCACACCAAACGTACCACTTGAATCTTCCATTTATATCCATTATATCTATTTACTTTAGTATATGTGTTTGAAATATGAATAATAAATCATCCTACTCTTCAGGTTACTAAATTAGAGATAATGCTGCAGAGCATAGCCCTGCTGCTATTGTGTCTCAGCAATTACTGAACTATCCAGTAAAGTTTCAAATGTATTATAAAATGGAGATTTCAACTTTAAGAAGCTGTTGGATCTTATGGAACCATACTTTGAACACAATGTCTAATTGAAGTGTGAAAAGAAACGGGATGAGTAAAGCGTGTGTCAGGAGTAGAGTGGAGCACGCAGTGGGTTTTCGTGGACATGAGTTTAGAAATTGTAAATGATATTTAGTACCCTTATGTTTTCAAGACCAAGGAACATGAATATGACGTTTATTTCTTATCAAGGGAGATAAAATTAAAATTTTAAAACAATAGAAACAAAGATTTAATATCAATTTTTTATATTATTTTCGTTCCAGATATTTTTTGAAACAAATAACTACAGAACCTCATTTTCTTTAGGTTCAATGCAATTGTTAAAACTAAATTTAAGAGCACACCTATTTATGGGAGATATTAGTACATGCATAGAAATTGTTCGGACATTCATATATACAAAAATAATTTTAAATATTTTTTAACTATCTTTAAGTATTTCTCTTTAACAATTACTCCTAAAAATTAAAGAAAAATTAATTTTCAGGAGGATATCGGAGCTTTTTTTAAATCAGTCTTTGTAAAAAAAATTATTTAAAAACGTCTATTTTTGTTAACAAAAAAAAGAAAAAGATTCGAAGTAAATAAAATTTCATACATTATTATATATCTTTCTAGTTTAGCAGGACAGTAAAATAAGAAAAAATAATGAACCAACAGCTCAAAACCATGTAATTTTACAGAACATACAAATCGCATGAAATTCCACAAAATTATTAAGTTTTCTATTGAACTATTCAATAAAAACAGTAAGAAATGCATATTTTGCCAACTGAAAATATTCTCATGAATATTTTTTATTTAAAGACTTTTTAATTTAATTTTATGTTTTTAAAGAAGGTATCAATAAAACAGTTTTATTGGTTAATTTTGGGCGATGTCGCGAGTTTTCCCTCACTTGTCCCACTGTGGGACGGGGCGAGGTGGAAGGGACAAGTATCTTGTGCAAGTACGTCTTGCAGCTTACATCCAAGTTGCAAGAAGCACTAACAACTTCGGTGTTAAAGCTCTCGTTCCATTGTTTTATTGTTGCATCTTTCATATTCGATAAAATTAATTTAATAAATTTGTATGTTTTTTAATCAGAGACTTGTCATAAGATATTGATCACGTGGCTATCAGCATTTTTTTTTAAAGATAAATTTGTAGTATGATTTCAATTTTAATATCATTTATTTTTTTGTTGGTACAACAGAAAAAGTTCTTTAATAAAGAAATAATCTCAATTAAAATTTATCTTAACTATATATTTTTTAAATTTTAGACAGTAAATTATGATAATTTTAATGTTAAGCTGATATTGTCTATTTATTTCCAGAACAAATAATAATTTTATAAAAATACTTACTAAAACAGCAAGATCTGCTTGTGCAGCACCACCAATCATGTTAGGCACAAAACTTTTGTGACCAGGAGCATCAAGTATAGTAAAATGTTTCTTGTCTGTTTCAAAATAAGCTCTACCAACTTCTACAGTTTTTCCTTTTTCACGTTCTAGACAAAATAAAATAACAAAAGAAAAAACAAAGTAAATTAAAAAAATGGAAAAGGATATTTAAGGAAAAATATAACAAATTAATTACACATGTCTAAAGAAAAACGCTGCAAAGAAGTTAATTGATGTTTCCTATGATACAACTAATTCTTATTGCCTCTTCATAATAATATTACATGAAACTAAATTTTGACTAAAGTTCTGAGCAATTGGTATCTTAAATTGAACCAGGAAATACAATTCAATTCAGTATTTACTTTAAATTTCTACTTAGCAAGGATGTAACCTTAATTTTGATTTTTTCTTTCTTTTTTTATTAGGACCTTGAATGAGTTCTTGCTGTTTTTTAACAGATAGCAGCATCAGTTCTATATGTATTTCATTTCAGATAGAAAACCAATTTTCCAAGAACTACTGTCAATTAGCATAGACTTCAGTGTATGTTAATTCGTCATAATGTAAAAGTACTTTGTCGTAGGTCTAACATGTATGTTGAGTTTGTGTTTGCGAAGAATTTTATTCAAAAGAAATTTGCAGCTGAAGAACACAGAATTCTTGTTGAGACTTATACTTATGGTGAGTACACTGTCGGATATGAAATGTGGAGACGGGTTTCAGGCGCTTCAAAAATGATTTTAATAGCACACTTGTGCATCTAAAAACATTTAAGACGAAGAAGTGTAGAAATAACTTCATAAAAGCCTATCACACACAACCTGAACCTGAAAAATTATTACTAATAGATGATGCAAATGTTTCAAAACATTTGTAAGCATTAAGAATGAGCCAGAAGCAAGGACGTCGAATGACATTATCTCAAACGTAACTGCTGCTTCATCAGCAAAAAAGGAAAAGTATTTTGCATCATATCGTGACTGGCAATGAATAATGGATTTAGAATGATAATTCTAAGCTTGCAAAATCGTGAGGTAGGCCTGGCCTCTTCTCAAGCTTCTCTGCATTTGGTGGGATCAGCACAGTGTAATTAATTATGAGCTGCTCAAACCCCATAAACCTATCACAGGAGATTATAATTAATGGTTTATGGCCTGGCTGAGCAGCACTTACATTCTTGTGAAGAAACCAAACAAATGGAAAGATTCTTGGATAGCCTTAATAGAAGAGGAATTGATTTGCTGCTAGAAAGGTGGAAAAGTAGTGGCTAGTGATAGGCATGTTTTGTTTTACTACTCGCTTCAAATAAAGCATTAGCATTACACCGACCGGCCACCGAAAGTGCAGCGGAGCTGAGCTGAGCATAGCTGAGTCAGCTTTCAAAACCGAACCAAAGGTTTTCAATGAGAGACCAACAGATGCTGAGCTGAGCGGAGTAGCAAGGTTCAGCTCAGGTAACTTTAGGTCGACTGGGGTTCGGTTTTGGAATCTGACTCCACTAGGCTCAACTTCCCCCACCACACCTGCTCACCACTATCACACAACCATGGGGCTTTGTAACACAGTATTATCCTTTTTCCCACTCGTTTTCACTGCACAACCTCTCAAATTATTTTATTTTGGTTCAGTGTAAAATATGCAATGGATGTTGAAGAATTCTTAATTGAATGTGTAAGGAAAAATATTTAATTTTATACACAAATATTCAATTTTTCTTTTCAATTCTGACATGATCAACTTTGCTATTTTTCAAAAATGTTATATGTGATGTATATACTTTTTAATTTTTTTTTTACAGAATATGAGAAGGGAACCAATGCAAGCTAAGTTACTGGCTGAGCTGAGCTTCGCTACGCAATCAGTTGCTGAACCCCTCTTGCAAAGTTCAGCCCAGCTACGCTCAACTCAGCTCAGCTTGGTTTCGTTGGCTGGTTAATTTTTACAAAAAAAAAAAAAATATAACTTATTCAAGGTCATAAAATAAATAAAAACAAAAACTTGCAGTTAAAGAATGAAATGATGAGATAAGCAGAATTGACAGTATGGACTTACAAGGAGATAAACATATTAAAAGCCGCCAGATATAGAAGACAGAGAGAGGAGATAACATCTCAAAAATATTGGTTGGTTCCATTTTTGCAACTGTCATGGTAATAATCATAAACTATCACAAGAAAAATGAGACTATAAAAAACTTTAAAGAGATAACACATATTTTTTGTCATTTTATTGCTGAGAACTTCCTCAACACTTTTAAATTGACTAATCTTTGATCAGTTGAAAAGATAATTAATGGAAATTTATATTTCAGTCTTCTTGGAAACCTTCCATATTAAAAAAATGTCAGAAAAAAAGTAAAATTTGTCTTATATATCTTATTATTTCACCAATTAAATAAATTTATAGATAAAGAAAAAAAAATCTGGTGCGCGCAACACACAACTTTCACTAACCGCTCAACTTTGAATAGAAATTCTTTTCTGGCCATGTTGGGCTATTATAAAATTTTTGAATTGCATTTTTAAACGAGCTAAGCAAAAAAATACAGCTAACAAATCAGAAATACCATTAAAATAAAATAGGTCCTAATACCATTAAAATAAAAAAGGTCCTATTTATTATATCACCGGTTGATTAAGGATTGTACGATCTGTTGATTATGGATTGTACATCTATTAGTTATTAAGGGTGAAAAATATTCAAGACAGTCGTTTTTAAAGAAAATATTTTTTTTTTTTTTTAAAAAGACTGCGTCCTGAATATTTATTACCCATGATATGTAGAACAGTCGACTAACTTCCTTCAAGTATTAGTTATTGAACTATTATTTTCCATTTCAAACTTTACTAAAGAGGAACTAAGAGATTTGCATTGTCTGTTATAAGCAGGTCTAAAGTTCACCACACATAAAGACACTCTAATTATAAGTGGATACTGTTGTAATATCACAAAAGGAAATTTCATTTCTCCTTCCACAGAACTACAATGAAATAGTAGTGGATACTGTTGGAATATCACAAAGCGAAGATTAATCAAATTATTAACTAATTTAATTTCCTAAAAAATTACATGACAATATTTCGGAATAAGCGGACATTGATACCTAATTATTTAAATATATAATATTTGATCTAGAATTATTAAACTTCAGTAAATATATTTAAGGTTATTAACATATCTATGACATATTGTTATATTCCACTTCTTTATTCACATAAGTATAATGAAATAGTATCTTTAACAGTGTCATTGGCTTGAATCTGTGGATTTTAAATACTTTTTAAAACTTAAAAAAAAAGTTAAAAGTTAATAAATTTAAGTTAATAATAAAACGTTTAGTTAATAAATTTAATTTAATTTCCTTGAAAACATGTGATATACGTTAAATATTATTAATTTTCAAAAATTATTATTTATAATTGTTTTGCCACTCTCCGTTACCTTCTACAACTTTCTATGTTAGATATTGTTTTTTCTAAAGTTCTCTGCTTTCCAACGATATATTATACGTATACCTTCTGACTAGTATTTCAGGAGATTCATTTTCCACCTGGATAAGCATTTTTTTTTTTTTTCTCCTTTATTGCTTTATCAAATTCTTTCAAAAATTATATTTAGAATTTTTTCATAACTCTTATTAATGAGATAGTTAATTATTAACCTATATTAAAGTACCACATTAAAGGTACTTAAGAGGAAGAGGCATATGAACATTTGGCATTTAAGCCCCGTAAAGTTACATCAATGAGGATAAGACTTAAATGACCACTTAATTATACAATGATACACCGAGTTTAATCAAAATCGTTAGAGAAAATTGTAAAAATGTGTTTCAGCGTTGATATAAGGTGACACTACCGGTTAGCCGATTTTAAGGAAAAAGTTGCTGTCACATCTAAGGCATATACCTATCTTAAATACATAATATCAGTTTCGTACGACTTTTCGTAAACTGATAACAAACACACACATATCATTTTTCGGGACTTGGTTATTTGGACTCAGTGTACCCCAAAACATGAATTTCCATTCATCAGATTCAAAAATTTTGACGATTGCAATACTTACCCTTACTATATATCATATATATACATAAGCGAAAGTAAAAATAGAAACTTTACATAATGCTCTTTATTTCCTTAAATGAAATGTTCTAAGCTATGACCAAATATTGTTTTGAGATATAATAAAAAAATCATCTGTTCTCCCTTCTTTTTCTGTCTCTTTCTTTAGATCTGGGTATTTTAGCATGTTTACACCTCAACTAGTTTAAATAAATAGATTATAAATAAAGCATTATAAAATATAAATAGATAAAATAAATGAAGACCTCAAGTCAATTATGGCTGCCTCTTCACCTTTCTCTAAACCCCTTTCAAGCATTTTTTAACTGAACTCTAGTTACCATTGAAATATTTAACCAAAAATGAAACTATTATTAATTACTAAAAGGCTGTGAATCACTAATCCTTATTGAGAAGTAACAGAACAGGTTTGTTTTCTTACCTTCTTGATTAGTATCAAGGGCCCAAGAAAGGTACCACGATTCTCTACTCCTTTCCTTAGCTTCTCTCTCATATTTTTCCAAAGTCCTTTTATCTACCATACCAGTAAGAGCCATAATTTGACCGCCAATAGTGGACTTGCCAGCATCTGATAAACAAATAAACAAAATAGGTGATAATATTCAGTGTTTGTATTTCAGTGGGGGTCATCTCAATTGAAAACTTACATACTAGGTATGCTAATAAGTAATTTATAGAACAGCATGATTAATAATGATCCAAAATTAGGTAAAAATAAAAAGATAGAGCCTTAACCTAAACCAGAAGATAAAAAGGATAATATTAAAATGATAAATAAAAAGTATCCAGAACATTTTCAAAAACTAATTTCTCATGATTCTATTTGTTCCTAAGCTAATTAACAGAATAAAAAAAATTCCACATTCTATGATTATCTGAATATAAAAACGGTTTTATATAATTATAACCAATGGCAGAACTACATCGCTTGAATAAAAGATTAAATTGATACTTTAAGCCAGGGGTCTCCAAACTTTTGGTCCAAGGGCATTGACATTGACATTGAGACCTCGGCCAAGTTCTGCGGGCCATGGCTTGTGATTAAAAAAAAAAATCTTGTTCTATAAATGACACGACACTTCAGCTATAAAATAAGAGAAAAAAACATACACAATAAATATTGCAGTAACCTCGTATGTGAGTAATTTGTTAAATTTCGTGTTTTTAAAATTTTACCATCTAATCAAAGAAACTTTCGCAAGGCTCGACTGAATACAATCGCGGGCCTCATATCCAGCCAACGGCCTGTAGTTTGGAGAACCTTGCTTTAGGCAAACAAGACTATGATAAAATTGTGACAAATCCAGAAAGGTTAAACTTTGAAAATACTAAAATAACAATAGCTTAAATTCTACTGCATTGTATTTATGTCTTAATTCTAGAAAAAATTCAGTGATAAATTCTTGTTCATGTTCAACTATTCTTTTATTAACCCTTAATCTGATTGTTTAGTGGGTTCAGTCTTATTATTTTTACCTGATTATGGATAGAATTTGACTAGCGTTCCCTATAAAATGAATTCAGAAATCTGAACTAACAATCTATGTATTATTGTTTGTTGACTAATCTCTAATATTTCAGAAATGTATTTTAAGAGAAAAAATTGTTTAACGGCTTCTGAATAATTATATTTGAATCATCTTTCCTTAGTAGTTATTACGATTGTAATAATCGCCATAGCGATATAGACATGTTCATAGCCTATTTTATACCTTATTTTCCATGAGATCCTTTTTTTTTTTTAAATATTGGTTTCATATTAATATTTTAAAAAACACAACATTGAATGTATGAATTATTAGTATCAACGACAAATCAGTAATTTTATTCTTACAAAACTTTCATGGGATCACAAACGAAAAATGAGCTATCCTTTAAAACAGTGGGTTCTGTAAGTAAAGAGAAATAATTAAAGGGATTTTATAAGACCTCAATGGCTACAAAAAGTTTATATAAACACTGATTCAATTCTTCACAGAAAACTAAGAAATTTAATTCTTCACAGAAAACTAAGAAATTTAAGTTTTCCATTACTGTGAACTAGAAAACATTACTTCTAATGAAAGTAGTTTGTAATCGTTAAAACTATAAAAGAGAACTGTTGAGCAGTTCTGTTTATAAGAATATGAATTACTCACGATTTTTTTTAATCGCACTTCAACTATACTACACATATCATACCATACTTATAGGAAAACTTTTTTTGTTTAATAAGCTTTAAGTCCATATTAATTAAGTTGAATGTTTATCACAAAATAAGTTGAGATTCATCTCAAGTTGTGTAAGAAATATATGTTATTTTACATCATGTTACAAACATGCTTACATAAATACACTTTTATTTATAAAAAAAATATGTTAAAAATAATTATTTTTCAAATATTTATCATCTAAACCTAAAACCTTTCTACTTTTCTGTGAAAAATCAGACTATTGTTTCTATAAACTTTTTAAAAGTCCTTGAGATATGCTATCACTCCCTATATTCCTTTACTTAGAGGATACCCTGTATATAGATATACATTTAACATTTATAGTTTATTTCGATGTGATATTTCTTCTTATCTTATTTTTTTTCTTGTCTGCATTTGTGAGGGAACTAAGATTTTCTTGTTTTGATTGCAGTTTTATAACAATATGCTGTTCTAACAACAATGTAAAATTTAAAATTATGAAGATGATGTAGAGATGGTTGACCGTTGATATAATATGAGGAGTTAGTCGAGGGAGGAGTTCATAATTTAAAATTATGAAAAAATAAAAAATTATAATTAAAATATAAAAAATAATAATTAAAAAATAAAAAATAATAATAAAAAAATAAAAAATAATAATTAAAAAATAAAAATTTAAAAATTATGAAGTATAATAACTAAGTTCTAAAAACATTTATTCAGTTTAAAATAATTTTGACTTTAGCTTTACTCTTCTGATCAATGATTTAAATAGCTTACTTAAAACCTCCTTGAGAAATCACTGACTATTAAGTAAAAAAAAGCATACAAATTGGTTCAATAGTTTTCACTGTTAACGATTATAAACAAAAAACGGGCTGTTTTTCTATATAAAACCATCAATACACGTATATCATGTATAATATATACTAGATACAGAAAATATAATATAAAATCAAAGAATTATAGAAGTAATACATTAAACTAAAATATTAATATATGACAATTTATAAAACCTCAATAATTGGTAATCTCGGTGATAAGACAAAAAAAAATTAAATGAATGTTAAAGTAATTAACTATTGTTATTAAACGTTATATGTGTCATATCAGTAGACTAAATTTTATTGATTTAAAACTTGTAACATTTTAGGACTTCTGAGCTCTGTTTTACAATTTACTTGTTACAATAAACTATTACAGGAAGACTACATGATATTCATAGAGGATGGAACGGAAAAGAAGGTTGGGGCAAAGAACCCAGAGTGCCCGGTTCTGAAAGTTGTTGGTTCGATTAGCACCTGGGTTGGTTACTTTTCATTTCTCGGCGGCGCTAAGCAATGGACCACTCTGGTAAGTACGAGGCAGCAACCTCCAGCTAGCCGTCCTTGGCAAAAAGGACCACGATAGGGGCCATTTGGCAGATTAGTTCCACACCAGTACCAGTAAATGATATTCTGTGGTCCTAAGTTGGTTTATCATGCGACTAAAAAAAACTTTTTATAAGAAATAAAAAGATCTAAGTATCACTTATGTCATCTAAGTACCACTCATGTACATAATTCATAAGATAGCTATTGACTTGTTAAAATGCTACTTGAACAATTTTCACAATTGCAATACTTTCCCTTACTGTATATTATATACATAGGTAAGTGAAAGTAAAAATCTGATATGGAGTGCACATAACACAACTTTCACTTGCCTTCCTACTTTGAGTAAGAAATTAATTTCTGATAAGTAGGGCTAGTTAAAATTTAATTATTTAAATCTATAATCGGGTTTAAAGTTATAATCATATCTTTTCTAACCCCTCACGTTTATCATGTATATGCAGTTTTTGTCCCTATCTATTACCTTCTACAATATTAAATAACTTTTTTTTAAAATCTTTAGCTCTCCAACAGAAGATAAATATCTGCACTAATACTTTTACTTCCAGAAATTTGTTTTCAACCTGGGAAATTATTTATATTTTAGTTAACATCAAATTCTTTGTTAGTTTATATTTATCCACACTTTATTATTACTAGAAAAGAGATGAGTAATTATTTCAAGTGAATAAAAAGGTACTTCAGAGGTAACCATGTTGAAAAATTGGCAGTTGAATCCTCTTAGATTATTATAAAGAGGATAAAACTCAGCTGATATTCAAGACCATTTAATTGTGCATGGATATAATAAATATGATTAAAATAATAAATTTGTAAATAACTATGAAATCAATGATAATAATTAGAAATTGGAAATAGTAAGTTAATTTTAACGAAAAAGTCGCTAAGACATCCCAGGTCTACTTTAAATACATAATTTTAGTTTTAAATAACTTTTCATTTTTGAGCTAGACACTAAGCATTTTACAAGATCTTACGTGCATTTTTGTGAAAAACTCAAACCCAAAATTTTTCCCTTACTATATTTCATATATAAGTAATTGTGGAAGATAAGATTGGTTTTGGTGATCAGTAAAAAAAAAAGTATATTTATACTAAATAAATATACTTTTTTTTTTTACTTATATCACCCCAACCAATCAAGGGACAGGGGTGACAAGTGGGTTAACGCGTGTAACACAGCACCGCATATTGCCCGTCAACCTGATAACAAGATACAGATGTCAAAATAATCAAGAGTTCGCGTTCCGGTGCTACGGGTCTTTTAACTCTGGCATTAATCGCCTGCCCTCAACCCCTGGCCCGGGAAAACCTCTATATAACCTAAAAGGCAAAGGAAGGAAGAGAAAAAACCAATTAAATCTTCTCTTCAATTAACCACTACAGTCAATCATCAATCCACAATTAAAAGTAATTGTGTTAAAAATTCAAATTCTACAAAAAGAAAAAAGTGAACTCAACTCCTGAAACAAAACAAATAATGCTTACAAACAGGAATAGATGAAATATAATAATAAATAAGATAACGAACAACTAAAATCAACAACAGTGCAATATATATATATATATATTGTAATGTCAACATTACATGGCATTTAAATAGTGGCGCGCGTGCGGATGTGGTGGGGGAAGCAAGCCTCATGTAACTCAGAATGTGACGGGCCGCCAAGAGAGAAGGTGATAGCGGCCAAGAGAGAAGGTTATGAGCCGCCAAGAGAAAATGTGACAAGCTGTCAAGAGAGAAGGTGCTAGCCAGCAAGCTAAGAAAGTGAAAAAGGAGTCCTAGCCGGTTCGAGTGTTGATAGAGGCCACTAGTGGAGATTATTTTATGTTGGAAGAGAACACAGCAGAAATTAATTAAGCAGTACAGAAAACGGGACATTCGTAAGTAAGAAGAGATTATTTCGCTGACAGGCGTAAACATTTGGGTGAGTGCTAACAATGCCATTTATGTTGACAGAGGGATAGAACCAAAAGTTTAGACCGGGACAAATTATTTTATATAACTATTTTAAATTATATATAAGTGTAGTTAGTAATTAGTAAATTATAGTTATTTAATGTTGAATGAGTGTTCAGTTGTCAGAACCCAACCTGAGATTTATGTTATATGTCAAAATAAATAGTATATTGAAAAATGAAACTCGTTGTTTGATTTAGGAGGGAAAGAGGAACGTTACAATATATATATATATATATATATATATATATATATATATATATATATATATATTTTATATGACACTTTTGTGAATATTTGTAATATTAACCACATTAGTTATATAAAAAAGAAACTTGTTCTGAACACGTATTTTCAAGATTTTTCAATCTGAAGTGCTGGCGATGCATCACTACCTCTACTGTGCTACATGAAGAGCTAAATAAATAAATCACACTTTATACCGACGTCCAAACAGGATTAGGGGCACTTATAAATACACCAATGAAGTTAGATTTATCTTCTGGAGAGCAAAAAAAAAAATAATGCTAAAACTGAATAATTAAAGCCTAAAGTTTATGAACATTGAAGGGTGCAAAACATTAAGAGCTTGCGGAGAATCTAGATATATTCATTCAAACCTGCAAGGCTGACTGTCCAAGATTTTTTGAGCTATTCATACCATTATCGATACAATATAAATAGGATATTCCACCAATTGATACAAAATCATATATACAGTGATTGTGAAATTTCTTAAATGCAGACTGACAACAGTGTCAACTAGACATTTTCACTTCTGAAAAGTGTAAGACAAGTTTAGGCATCAGACGAAGAGAGGATGCTCAGCGAATCTACCAGAGGATCAGTGAAGAACCCAGAGAGTGAAAAAGAATCCTTCGCGAGAATACATTTGAAGAATGGAACCACTAATGGTTATGACCACTAAAGGAGCAACCCTGAGAAGATGTTTTCCTACTTTCGTTCGAAGTTAGAAGTCACATGGATCACAACAGACTACTGGGTGGGCATCACAGTTCCTCACAGGGTATCAGGGTTTTCGAGCAAAGCTCTTCACTGTTGTGAAGAACATTAATCCCCTATGCCCTTGTTGAAGAGTAACAGACACCGCCGAACACATTGTCAACAACCTGCACTACCTACGAGACACTTAGAGCTAAACAGTACTTTTCGTTTTAACGGACGAGTTTCCTCGGCTCATTAAGATCAAAAATTACACTTACTTCAAAGAATTTATATACTAGTGGAAAACTATTGTATACCTAAACCATATCTCTTTGGGACAGACAGAAGGAAGTGTGCCAGAGAAGCCGCCGGATATAGGAGGAGGAACTCTCAGATAAAATGTACAGGCTGTGTGCACAGCATATTAATTTTGAGGATTTACTTGCAGGGTTTAAACTTAATGAGTAACATCCTACTGCTGTTGGGGGCGGGGTGGCCGAATAGGCCAAAGCGTGTGTAACAGCACCGCTAGTTGCCTGGCAACCGGAGAACAAAGATTTGAGATGATATAAAAAGTACGAGTTCGCGTCCCGGTGCCGGAGGGGATTTTAAATTCCCCGCCCTCACCCCCCGGCCCGGGAAAATCCCGTATACCCTAAAAGGCGAGGTAGGGAAGAACAAAAAAAAAAAAAAAAAAAAAAAAAAAAAAAAAAAAAAAAAAAAAAAAAAAAAAAAAAAAAAAAACATGCTGCAATCACCCATTTTGTTTAAAGGCAGGAAAATCAAATAATAATTTTTATTTGAGTTCTATTATTTTTATCTTCGTAATCACCAATTAAATAATTTCCACAATTAAATTTCAATTCAAATCATCAAAATCTAATTCTTACATGTGTCCTAGGTTAATTATTTCAACTATTATTAAGATACTTTTATTTACATAACAGCCTTTCAGCCCCAGTAATATATCAAGTTTTATGAAAAAATAATGGAATCATTTATCAACACAATAAAAAAGGTTTGGTCTATTTTCCTCCCAGTCTATGAAAAAGTCTGCCAAATCTTTTCTGAGCTTTATATATATTTTTTTTCATGTTTACCAACTGCAGGAGGTTACGTCCAACAAAATATAGACAGAAAGTTTTTACTTATTTTTAGTGCTATTGTTAGTGTCTCTTCATTTGCTATTCTTTTTCCCTCATATGGATATTTTACTGAGAAGATATATATGATTCATGTTATTTTTACATTTGAATACAACAGTAGTGGCCTTAATATTGTTTTATAGATAAGGACAATTACATCAGATTTACGGTTGAATTTCCTGTTGAAAATAGCATATGACATAGCCAGTTTGGCAAATATAAAAAAAAATAATTAAATAAGGATAAAAAAGAGGGAGAGGTTAAAGAAGAGCACGGGAATTTTATAGTTGCTATCAGCAACAGAACTGCTCTCTTCACACCCCCTCCATACCTTTCATCCGTTACCCCTCTTTTCTATCCTTATTTAATTCTTATTATTTTTTATCATACTGTGATATCAACTTCAATTTTTCATTCCTTACATATACAAGAATAGCCTAATCTATCAAATATATTCATGTATTGCCAATTACCCTCTTGTTTTGAATTTCATTTTTTGTAATTTAAGAGGTCTGCGATATCATAATTTTGTATATATATTATCATTTCTTATCATCATGTACAATACCTATGTATTTTAATTTATCTTAAATAATGTATTTTTTTTTTTATTTCTCATTGTTTTCATCTTTATTTTTCAACTTTTTATTAACTGCACATACTTATTTGATTTATCATTACCATTTTCAACTGTTTTTATCTTCTCTTCTATAATTGTTTTTATTATTCTAATAGGTTGTTATCTAATTTTCTTATTTAGCTATGATAAAGGCCTAAAACTTAAAACTGAAACGTAGACACACAATAAAATAAGACTTCTATTCATTTGAATGTAATTTCATTTTGACATAAGTAGACTGCACTTCTAACCAACTTTCCTAAATTTAATGAATAATCAAGATCAGTGTACAATTTTGTCACTAGTTTCCTGTAAACCTAATTTAGTTTTAATAATAGTTAATGTACATTTTAACAGTTTGTAATTTTAGAGTGTAATAATTATTTTCTGAAAATTATTCTTTCACTTAACACTTTCATATTCAAGCAGACCATGAATATGAAAACAACAAAATCTTGAAATGTGACCAAATGCAGATGTTAATTTATTTACTGAACCTCAAGATTTAAAGAAAATATATATCTTACTAGCATTCAAGAAATAGTAATAATAATATATAAATATTTCAGTGATATTTGGCCTATTCTTGCACTTAAATGTCATATAGGCAGATCTATTAAGTAGAATGATCACAAACCAACTTTGTCCAAAGAGGTAAATAAAATAACAAATGAAAAATAGATTATAGAAAAAATCATTTGAAAACTAAAAAACAACGTAATAAACCATTAATAAAAACATAAATTAAAATAAAATGAGTAAGATAGTAGAAACTAAGAATGAAGATCAATGACCATTCCGTGGCACATTTTTTTTTTCTTCTCTTAAAACCTCAAAATACATTTCTGATTATGGTAATTAATAATCGCTACAAACTAAAAAAACAAAATATATATATATAACAAAAAGAAACAAAAATTAAAATAATATTTTAAAAATAAATTAATGATTTATTCTTTCATAAAATTATCAAAATTAAAAAATGAAGCAATAAAAACAAAAGAAAAGCTCTATATTTATGAAAAAATAAAGGAAATTTAAACTGCATTAAGCAAACACCGTGACTGGTGCTCACCAACATGGCCGATGATAACAACATTAACATGCTCCTTTTTCGAACGAGTTTCTTCAGGTCTCGGTGGTTTTTTTTTAGGCTTGGCCTCTATTATTTCATCATCTTCTTCGCCAACTCCTGAAGCACCAGATGGAGGGTCAGAATCAAGTGCAGCAGCCTCCCATGAGTCTACTGGAGGTGGTGTTTCTCCTCCGCCACTCTCTTCTCCACCTGTAACATATTAAAAATTTAATAAAAGATAAAATATACTTGACCAATAAGGTTAAATGTGAATGTAATAAACTTCACAATAAATAATTTAGGAATACTGACAAAATAAGATTTTGTCTAAAATCTTAATGAAAAAAAATGGAATATATCCTAGGCATGATTATAAATATGATTTGTAAAAAATAAATTAGAATATAATATAAATCCAAAATATGTTGTAAAAATAATACAGATAAGGTATGTTAAATAACTACCTTCAATGAACAACAATCTCATTACATAACAATTTAATAATAGTATTATGATATAAAATACATATCGTCAGTTCCAATGTCAACTTTTTGTACATGACATTTACCGTTTACATAACATGTGTCATGTACAGAAGATTTTGATTTATTTTAATTATATTTAAATTTAATGAACAATAAATCATTAGTCTTTTTAACTCAATAGTACTAAAAATTAACATGTGAAGATGATGCTTCTTTAGTACATGGTCTGCTCCTGAATCAGGATATCAACAGTTAGTTTTAAATGGCTCAGAAAACGAACTACCAACATAGTTATAGGGAGGCTATCTGGTATAACCAACTTTAATCTTTTTGCTTAGAGTATTTTGTAACATAACGTAATTTTTCTATGATTTAAACATTGTTTATTAGATATCTTATATTATTTACAAAAATAAATATTCTAGTAAATAAAGACTATAAAAAGCAATAAAAGGAAAAAAAAAATGGAATGGAAAACTAAGAAAAAAAAAAAAATTAAATATAGAAATTCAAAATAAATACATTCAGATGTATTTGGACGTTTAAAAAGCAAAGAAACTTTCTCTAAAATGACAATAGCCAAGAAAGTTTCATTGGTAAGTTTCACTGGTAAGTTTCACTTGTAACATAATGAAATTTTAAGACCTAAAAACTAAATCTTAAGAAGAAATTATATGACAGCCTGAGTGAAGAGAAAGTCGTAAGCCCATGGGGCAACTAAATTATGTAAAATGGGAACAAAGTAGATGGGATTACAAAAAATATATAGAAACGTGAACAAAAAAAAAAAAATAAATCGTCAGAATTATATAAATTTAATAATATATAAAAACATGTTTATCTTTTTGAAAAAAAATTAATGAAATTTTACTTGAATAAATGTCTTCTAAGAGATGATATCTAATCAAAGGCTACAAAAAATTTAGAGTTAGAAATAAAACATTTTGGACTCCAAAACCCTTATGAGTCTTGTAATCCTACAAAAACAAAACCTTTACAACTTAAAATATTTAAAAAGAGAAAACAGACTTCATTGACAATGAGCTATAATTAGAAAAAGAAATTTAGATATCCTGTGTGTATATGTGAGTGCGTTCGGCGGAGTGTGCGCGTGCATGAGATTTCAGATGAGATGTATTCTATACGATTGATTTTTATGTTTTGTGTTTTTCTAAGAGTTTTTTAGAAAATTCCTTGCTAACATTTGATATATATATATATATATATATATATATATATATACAATAATAAACCACTCTAATAATCCATGTCTACTAAAACTTATACAACTTTTTTACTTTATGTTAACCTACAATTCTAGTATGCCGGATAAGTGAATTGTAATATATTTCATTTGTTCTTTCAAGTGTAAGACAACTAACTAAACTCGATAACCAAATACAACTAAAAAAACTAAACTTAAAATATTTTAGAAAATGTTCTTTAAAAGAATGGGAGTGGGGTAGGCTCAGCTCATTGATCTTCCAATGCTCAAGGTCCCAGATGCAAATCCCAGCTCATGATAGAACAACTATTTATTCTGTTTCATTAACCACGGGGCGACCCTGCGGTCAGGGGATCCTCCTGGGTACACCTCGCCTCTATAAAGTGGGTACCCTTAATTAAATAATCAATTAAGGGGGAAACCTGGCGGTTGAACCTAACCTCAGTCAATTCACCTCCTTGCATAACCGTTGACTAAAAAACAGTACTTTCTCCAAATAGTATTGAACCTAAGATCCTTCATGAGTTGTAGTGGTACAGGTTTATTTTTTTCTTCTTAAAAAGAATATTGTGAGATCAAGTTAACTAATGAGATCACAATATAAGGGGGGTTGTTCCACTCAAGAGGGAAAGTTTTTATTGGAAATAGAATAAGGAACGAATTTCATTTCAACGGTGGAGTTCAACAAGGTGGTGCTCTATTGGCCATACTGTTTAACTTACCTCTACACAATGCCTTAAAAACATTTGAACTAAGAGGAAGTTTGGTAACCCGTACCTCACAGATTCTCGGATAATCAGATGACCTTATGGTTCTTAGAAGAAGCGAGCGAGCGATAAGAGAAGTCCTCACTGAACTGGTGTCCGAATATAAAAAATGTTGGCCTACATATGAACAAATCAAAGACAAAATACATGGTGGTGTCTGCATGTGGAGCTGGACGACTTCTAGTTCAATGATTAGAATCAGTTTAACACTTTACTTATTTTGGAGTAAATATCTATTGTGAAAACAAGGCAAGTGAAGAAATCAGGAAACGAATCATGGTAGGAAATAGAGCATATTAAGTCTTGTAAATCTCTTCAAATCACTACTTCTCTCTAGAGCGCAGAAACCTGGACAATAAATGTTACAGACCAACACATGCTAAGTGTATTTGAAAGGAAGATCCTAAGGCGTATTTTTGGTCCAGTTTGCATCTAGGGTATGTGGCACATTAGAAATAACCAGGAGCTGGAAGATTTGATAAGGCATAAAAACATATCACACTTCATAAAATCAATAAGAATCAGTTGGGGCTTGGTGGTCATGTGCAGAGAATGAAAGATGATAGAATAACAAAAAGAATAATGGGAGAGAACGTGCGAGGCAAATGAGGACGACCTAAGAGACAATGGCTGGATGACGTAGAGGAGGATCTGGCAAAGATTGGAGTCATTGGATGGAATCAGATGGCATTGAATCTGGACACATGGAATCGAATTATATGGGAGGCTAAAGTCCACCGAAGTAAGTAAGTAAGTAAATTTGTAGAGATGTTCAAAGTAATATCACAAAACCATTTCTGAAGGGTCAACTTGACTAACGAAATAATGAAACAGTAATTTATTTTGTTAATGTTATTCAATAAATTGTTTAGAAGATGATAAAATCCCCATTGGAATATATAACTTGTATTGCTAAATTTTATTAACTTCAAATGCTCAGTAAAGAAATAATATTGGTTCTTAAAATTTTAAATTTATATTAAATAAGATTAATAATGCATCATGCAAACATTAATCAAAAATACAAAGAAGCATAGTTGCTAATATCAATACAAGCAAATAATGACTGCCAGATGTCTATAAAGCCTATCAAGGATTAATTTTAAGAGCAGTAAAATACTATTCACAAGCTAGTTGCATACTAAGAAACCACCAAAAATTATGTGTTCTATCTTATATACCAAAGAATTTTTAGGTTATTCCTATATTGTAAATTTTTTGTTACTTATAAAAGATATATTTCATAAATTGTAAATATTAAAATTTCATATGAAGTTAAGTATGATATATTTTTCAAAATACTTAAGAAAATTTAAAATCAAGTTTACCTAGCAAAAGTGAATATCTTTAGACATATAAAAAATAAATTTTAATAATAATTGTCATATAATTAAGGGAATACTTAACAGCAGGGAGGAGTGTTTAAAACAGATTTGTTATAAAAGTAAAATAAAAAAAATAATAGGCATTTTATTTTATTTAAATAGCCATTTAGCAAAAAGATGTTTGGATAGGGGGCTTAGCTTTGAATTTAGAATTTTAACTATAGAGACTCCGTGTCCTTCAAGTGAGTCAATGAATAAAGCCCCCAAAGCACATATGTAATACATAATAACATACATATTATGTTTCCACATCAGAAAGGGATCCCGAAGAGAGAAGAAAGTACATTCATGCAGTAAAATTAAATGTTAATTTAAAGTAAGATCTTTAAAAATGTTTGTTTGTCTAAACATATAATTAAGCCAGAGAACAAAACAATTAATGTTCTAACATTAAATACATATTAAATCAACCTCTCATTTTTACTTAGTTGTTCGTAAAAAATTTCTCCATTGAATAATTATGTTGTATTCTTACTATGCATTTATTTTTTATATAAATTCAAGTTTTAATAGGGTAATACTTGTTTGCTTTTTTCTATTTTTATTATTCACCATGTATTAGGTATGAAACATTTAGGTAAAAACTAGAGTTTTCCAACAATCATCGATTTAAAAGATATTAATTCTCAAAGTCGTGATATTAGGCTTACTGATAAGAACAGGATGTTTGATAGCCGAGATTGGTATGTCACTCCTTCCAAAGCTATGTTTACATTCTGTCCTTCATTAGTGTCGCGAATCATCTTATATGTGAATAATATTTAAAAGAAAATAAGCGATAATATTACCATATAAATAAAGGTACATTCAACATGTATTGAAATAAAAATTGTAATTTGAAGGTACTTTGATTTTCTTGGAGATAATATTCAACTTAATGTATATAATACAAAAGTAAATGTTAACTGGCCATTTTGTAAGTATAAGTATAATTCATTAATGTGATATTTAAAATTTTTTGTTTTATTGTTTAATGTCCTGATATATATAATAAGTAATATTAGTATTTTTGTAATAAGTAATATTAGTATTATAATATTAGTATTGTAATATTAGTATTTTTTTATTAGTATTGTAATATTAGTATTTTTGTAATAAGTAATATTAGTATTTTATATAATATTAATATTTTTGTTTTATTGTTTAATGTCCTGATATATATAATAAGTAATAAGTTTAATGTCCTGATACTTTGATTTTCTTGGAGATAATATTCAACTTATTGTATATAATACAAAAGTAAATGTTAACTGGCCATTTTGTAAGTATAAGTATAATTCATTAATGTGATATTTAAAATTTTTTGTTTTATTGTTTAATGTCCTGATATATATGATCTTATGACATATATATGATATTATTTATATTACAGATATAATTTTGTTACTTTTAAAAAGGCAAAAGTGCCTGAAACATCGTCTAAATACAAAGATTAAATAAAGATTTTTAATAAGTAAATAAGGGTTAAATATATTTTTCTCATTTGTATGATCATAATAAACTTAGAGAAAATTTAAATTCATTCATTCCAATGACTAAAATAAAAATATGGTTATTTAGTCATCTTCTACAAAAAATCAAGTAATAAAATAATAAATAAATCAAGACAAAATTTGGCTCATGTTACTAAAATGTATATATTAAGTATAATTTTTCTTTCATTAACAACTTTGGACAAACATTTGTATTCCCTTAAAACAGGAGTTTTCAATCTAGTATCTGGGGAAAAGTTTGAAATAATAAAACAATTTGAAAATTAAAGAATATAAATTACATAAAAAAAGTTACATTAGATTTTAAAATATTGCTAGCAAAATATTTGCTCAATATGTTACAGAAACCAGGGTATTTGTTGTATTAGTTGTAGAAATTACTTGTCACCCATCCTATTGTCAACTCATACAATTGCTAGGTGATTTTGATGTGTTGGGTCTAACAAAATGTTATAGTTATAGTTTATTTTGTAGATATTTAACCCTAAGTTCTCCTGTTAAATACCAAAAGTATTAATATTTAATATTGTCGATTTTGTTATTCATATAACCTTATTTATTTACCTTCTAATGATAATAACTATTATAACTTTCAAGAAGAATACACAGAATATTATAACAAATATATATATTATAAAAGTTCAATACTTTTTAAATATTTTATTTTTTAATTCGATTATGCCTGCAGATATTTTTTGTAATCTGGGATGAGCCCACATCACAAAAAGTTTGAGAAGCCCTGCGTTTAAGCATCGTATATCTGTTTAAGATGTAATTTTTTAATAGATACAAATGTTGATACTGGTTCATGAAACTTCCCGCGCAAATTAGGTGTGTTTCATAATCGATTTGGTCATAACTGTTTATAGAATGTTGAAATGATCCGGATATATCTGAAAGAGTGGAAGCGACCACTCTCTTGGATTAGTCACACATAACTCCTCCGCCATTAAAGTAATTGTATACCTTTAACCATCTATATTTAAACAGTGTGCAAAAACTTATGCAGAGGCTTTTTAAAAACACATGACAGGGGAATGGATGGGTGGTTGGGACTAGAGCTCAAGTCCATAACATTCAGCATCATTCAACTGCTGGTTTTGTTATTCCATGAACAAATGTAACAGAAGTGATCGTAAACTATGCCTAATCCATGAGAAACTCTTGTGAACTAGTACTCAAATGTTAATACCAACTTATCATGTTGTTGTGTTTGACAATAAGAAAATATTTAACTGCGAACCTTAGCTTCCTTTGTTTCATTAGGAGTGTGGGAATTACCATTTTTCAGAAATTCTCATCCCATTATAGCCTAACTCTTAGCAAATTAGAAGAATTGGTTTGCATAAAATGATTCATGAATTTAAATGAGGATCTATAAAAATAAGAATCTTTAAAAACAATGTCTGCAGAAAGGTAACTCCTAGGTCTGAGGATATTAACATCCACACTGCAAAACCGTGTATTTCTTATTTTATAAAGTAGGTTTACCATTCAATTTTTATTACATGCTTAAGACAAAGATGTAATGTTCTGAATAACGTTTTTAGTTTGTCTTTATGAATATGTATGAAGCCAAGATTAACCAGCAAAGGTCAAAACCGCACATTCTGATTAAGTTGTACTTACAGGCTTTTGCAGTATGACTGTCAATATATTAATCAAGGCCCCATTATGAGTTACACTTAATTACAAAATGTAAAAACTAGATTCTATGAGAAATTCATATTTGAAACATTGCCAAAAGAACTATAACCAACAGGAAGATTTTAAGGTGAAATAGCAACATTAGTAAGCAAAGAACGCTCACGGGGAGACTGTTCAATGCAGCCAAAACCTCTGGCAGATGGGATACCTATAAAAGAGCTCTTGCTGAGTATTATATATCTGTCAGGAGAGCCAAAAGACAGCTTTCGAGGTAGTTCTGCCTGGAAATAGATAATATTCTGGCTGCCTTCCATGTTCATAAAATTCTGTCCAAGCAGGCAAATCGGAGAATATTAGGAACGCTCAAATTATACAATAATTACACCATGAATGAAATAGAAATGTTGAGCACTGTTGTTTCTTTACATTTCCTGAATTGCAGCCTGATGGAAACAGAACATTTAGATCCCACTACACAGAATCATCATGATGGAGTATCTGCGTGGGATAATGCTAAAAGAATTATAACAAACAACAGACTTCAATGGGTGGTTAAAGTCTACTGGCACTGGTGGGATTTTTCCAGCTCTACTACGGAAAGGCTTATCGGTTATCAAACCTAATTTACTAGAATTACTAAGAGGCAGTTCAGCATTGGGATGTCTACCCACTAGCTGGAGGGTATCCAACGACTATATTTCGAAACCAGGTTAAGTGAATTTATGAAGATCCCAGAGCATTTCAACCTATAAGTTTGTTATACTTTCTAATGAAGACATTGGGAAATATATTAGACAGGCATATTAGAGAACGTTTATTGGCCATAAGCCCAAAACAGCCAAAACAATTTGCTAAACAACCAAGGAAATCCTTTGAGGTTAGATTACATAACCTGGTGTCAGGAATAGAAAAATCGTTATAACAAGGGGGAAACCATGGCAAGCGTTTTCGTAGACATTGAAAATGCCTTTGATGGAACCCACATGGCATCATTAAATATGTACTAAGGAACAGAGATGTAGACCCTATGTTCTCCAGATGGATCATCAGAATGCAGGAAGAGAGAGTTCTAAAATAAAATTAATAATTAACTAATTAGTAAATACACAATTCATTAATAAATTAATAAGAAAGTTAGATGATGGGAATACTTTTTTCTTTCAAAAGGGATTGGGTGAGAGGGCCATAGCTGACGGCATAAAAGACGACAACATTCGGCTATTTTCAGGATTCCATGAACAAGTGTGATCGAAGTGATTGTGAACCACGCGTAATCCGTGCAGAACTCTTGTGAACAAACAATAAACAAACAATAAACAAAATTCATGTATTCTAAGCATTTTTGTTGACTTTCAATAAAGTTCACGAATGTAGTTAAAGTTTAAATTCTTACAATAAATATTACTAAAATTTTAACATTATATTTGTGTTGACTTAAGAAAGAATAAAGTTCATGAATGTAGTTAAAGTTTAACTTCTTACAATAATTGTTACTAAAATATTAACATTGTCTAATCCCTATCCACTCGAAAAAATAATAATCAGTTTTCATTTCAAAAATATAAAAATAAATATTATTTTTTACATCCTACCCTAAAAATTTCAATTTATATTTTACAAAGTGCCTGTGGATCTATACCAGGGCCAACTCCAGCCCATGAAGTTTCTTTGATTACATGGTAAAATTTTTGAACTATTTAAAAAATACGAAATTAAGTAAATCACTCAAACACGAGATTTCTACAATATTTATAGCATAAATTGTTTCTCTTAGAAAGATGATTTCACAGCTAAAGGGTCATTTACTTATCATAAGCCATGACTAATGGGACTAAGTGGAGGTCTCAATACAGACCGCAGGACTTATTGGAGTCCTCAGTGTGACCCGTGAGCCAAAAAGTTTGGAAAACCCTGATCTAGACCAATGTTTAAAAAAATTTAATAAACGCTTTATTATAATCTTAATTTTATTATTAGATATTTATACTTATACAAATTCATTATGTAACATAAATAATTAAATTTGATATATATATTCAGAAAAATGTATTCATTTTATTCATTTAGTTGTTTGGATTGGAAAATTAACCTGACCTTAGCTGTCTAGCCTGTGTTAGCCACACTCAGGGATATCTCAGCATTCCACAAGCAATATGATCATGTGAACTTCTGTCCATCCATCATGGTAGAGTAACAATTGTATAATATCATAGATTTTATTTGTATACATATATAAACACACACACACACATATATAGATGATATATATATTAAGAAAATAACCAACTACAATGTGCAATTAAGAATTAAAAAGAAGAACATAACACAGACATTACGAAAGGTCAATGCACAAATCTACTCAAATATCAAGTATTTTTAAAAACTAAAGAAAAAAAAATTCAAATGAAAGACAATATATATTCAACAAAAGTTAATGAAAGTAACAGTTCCAAATGTGTAGCCAATTCATAAGCATCTTCATTCAAAATCAGGCAAAAACTATTGAGTAATAAAAAATAATCAGTGTATTTAAAAAAAAAAAAAGAAAAGAAAGAAAGAAAAAGGAAAACAGTATAAGAAATTACTACTACACTGTTTAATAACACTCATCAAGGCATAATTCAGAAAGACACAAATACCTTGAGGAGGTGGCGGAGGTGAACTAGGAGAAGATGTTTCAGTTTCATCTTCTGCATCATTAGCTTGAAGCTCTGACTGCGGTAAGTCATCGCTCAATGAAGCAGTTCCAATAACATCCCCTGGTGATGTGTCATCACCAGCAGGAATACAATCTTCCACACCTACTTTGTTTTAAAAAAAAAACATAGCTGATTAAAAGAAAGGGAGAGTTTTAAAAATTAATCATTGATTTTAAAGAGAATACTCTGTGAAGAATGGAATTTAAAAAAAAACAACATATTTCAACCAGAACTAGTAAGAAAAAAAGACAATAAACTAATAGGAAAATCTTATATGTACCAATCCCCTTAATACATTTTAATAGTTAACATTTGGTAATTAATTCTTTAAGAAAAGAGAAAAAAATGATCATCAATATTATGCAATAATGAATGAGAGAAAGAAAAGAAAGTGATAAGGAAAACCCAAGTATCCAGTAAAATTAGGCCTATAAAATATACAAAGGAGTTTCATCTTTTCTCAGTACTTGAAACATTTCATTTAACAAGCCTGTTAAACAAATAAAAATATGTAACTGATCAAAACAAAACTAAATCCAAATAAAACCAGATTAAACCACTTCTTCACACCCCAATCTCACAATTGGTAACCCCCAGAAATTTTGTCAAATAAGACAGCAAAACAATTTCCAGAGAAATAAAAAAACAATTAGGGCTTAAAAGGTGTCTTAATTACAAAATATCACATTAAATAATATAATATGAAAAATATCAGGATTTGTAAAAAAAGGTTTCTTACAAGCACAAGGTTATTAATAATATGAGCAAGATAAATAAATAAAGAAATATTAGAAATTGACAGGCGTCCATATGGTTTATAAGTTAATCGAACTTTCACTAGTAATTAAAAAGTTACTTAGCTATTTTATTAATGATTTTACAGGATTAAATCTGCAAACTTATCAATATTTTAATGAAGGAAAGACAATGGAAATCATATAACTCTACAAGAAACCAGATCTAACACCAACCTAAAGATTCTATTAATTTACTAACACCATTAAAATGTTTTGAGATACATCAGTAAAACATGAGCAATTTATGATATAAAACAAGACATGTTATTAGGATTTATAAAATCTTAAGTTATCCCAGTACTGTGAAACTCATAAAACTAACCTATAGCACCTTTAATTACAATAACACAAGTTGGAAAGAAAATGAACTTACCGTTTGTCACGGGGGATTCAACATTGTCTTGAGCTTCGCTTTTGACAACTGTCTCTTCAGAAGATGGGTTGTATGAAAAAGAAGGCACAAATTCTGCTGCATTGACATTCAACGTGGAAAATTTAGCAGACATGTCTTTAGATTCTGAGTTATCTCCTGTCCCAACGTCAGCTTGCTGCTCCCATGAATCAGGGGCACCGTTGTTGGCCATATTAAACTAAATGTGTTAACAATAATTAGTTCATTGAATTATATTTTTTTAAATAATCAGTCTCACTTCACCCTCGTGTAGACTGCTCACCAGCACTGTCTACTGGCCGGAAGACAACATTGAAAGTGACTGTGCAGTACAAATAATTCATATTAGCCATTTTTTTTATTTTATTTATACAAAAGATAGAGTAAGTAATGTAACATTCAAATTTTTAGATTACTAAAATTATGATTTACATAACGAAGGAAACTGAAACTATTAAAAGAATATTTAAGTTTAGAAAATACATTTTTATATTATTTTTAAGGTATAATCACATTTTTACGAATTCTCATAATTACGAATGAATTTATTCACATCAACAAATAACTAAGAAAGTTATATAATTATATTGGTAGAAAATGTTTCCACCTTCACTATACTCCAATTCCAGTCTAGAAGCTGATAACTGATTGGTTCATTCCTGACAGTGTTCATTCAAAAAGCAGCCTTATCATTGGCGAAATATCACATTTCTCTAGAACGTTCTTTACATTGATATCATTACGGATTAGTGTTTTTTTAGTGTAACCTAATTTTCAAGTTAATTCTATTCGTGATTATGTCGTTTTCATCTGATAGACCAAGTTTCAGGGAACGAACGAGGGGGAAATCTGGTGATGAATATGTAGAAGAAATGTTAAAAAATTTGAAGCAGAAAAACAGAAAGTTTTTTGACTCCTATCCCAAATGGAAGACTGTAAGTTTTAATTAATTTTTATAGGAATGACCATGTTAACATTATTTTACTAATTTCATTTTCTTGCCTCTACAAGGTTATAGAAGGCATGGTTTTGATGTCATTTAATATATGTTTCTCACTACCTTTAAAAAGTTTCGTGTTGATATCCTTTTAATCATAATTGCAAATCTTCATAATTAGTTATTATTTTTATTTTTTCTAAATATCGAATAGAAATTCTCATAAAGAATAATTCTATTTTTAGAACTTAGAGAACATAGTATAATGACAATCCTGTAGGTCAACTCCATTTACTTATAAATATTATTTTGAAATTATTGGAAACCTTAAGTTTTATGATGAAGTTCCTTATCATTGTTCTTGATAACAGTAAATGAATATTAATCTACCTCAATATTAATATCTGTTAAACATTATACATTTGTTGATATTTACATTTATTTTTTATTTCTGGTTTCCTTATCATATATTAATTTTACAAGCATTGATTTATACTTGATTGAAAAAATTTAGGAACAATCTCAGGAATTTTTGGATTTGTTTGTAATGTGAAGATAATATGTTAGAACAATTTATATTAATGATAAATAAAACACAATAATCCCTTTACCCTCTAGAACTATATTCCTATGTTGAATTTTAGTCACTTAGTCAACTTTTTATAAAAGCAATAGCTGAAATGTTTTGAATCCAAATTATTCATAATGCAAAAATACTGGAAAGATCTAGGGCTTCTTTTACTACTTTCATCATCAAATAGCTCTTTTATTTTTAAATAATTTTTTTTTTTCAAATAAATTCTATTTTTTTTACAATGATTATAAAAGTACTCTAATCATTGAAAAATCTTGTAGACCTTAAAATAATCACCACATATTTTGATTTGGTATTTTTAATATGCATATTATGTTATCATTAATCAATCCTATTCACAGGCAGATCTATGGGGAGGAGGGTATTTTGGGCTAAAGCTCCCCTTCCAAAATGGTAAAATTAACCATGTTTTATGATAAAAAATTATCTCTTAAAGTATTATTGCCCCTGTAATTACATTTAATAGGACTTCAAGAATCACTTAAAACACCATTTCATATAGGTAGTTAGTATCTTTCTTTTTTTCCAAAGTAATTATCATTATATATGTATAAATATATGAAAAAAAAGCTGCCGGGCTGAAGCCTCCCCCCCCCCCCAATTAAATCCTGGATCAGCTTGCTAGTGATCCTATTAAAATTATTTCATAAAATTCGTTACTTGTTATTGGAATATTATGTATTCTTACGTTTTATTTATCTTCTATCATTAACAGAAATAATTTTAAATCTTTCTATTTCATTCCAATAAATTCGCGTTTTGTCAACAATACTAAAAATTTTGTGTTAATAGAGCAGTAGGTTGGCAACGCGTAAGTGAGACAGGTAATGCAACCCCGTCTAGAAAATTCTACAAGGTCTTTCCAAATTTTTTACTCCGTCAACTTATGTTTAAATTGTTTCCGCAACATCTTTAGTGAAACAGGTGTTAAAATCTGTAAGTTATCAACCACAATTCGTATAATGAACTCTTGTTTTATCAGATTTCGTTGAATCTGTCTTGAATCCTTTATATTGCTATCAATAATTGGTTACAAAACATTATCTTTATTTCTGTCGATTTATTGATACTATGGTTTATGTATCTTATTTGACATACCGTACTTATGATAATTATTACGATTATTTTTATATTTGATGATTGTGTTTCTTTATTAGTGAATGAAGTTTTTCATGATACTCTTACATTTATGTTTTTCAAAAATGCGTTTACTCATAATGTCAGCCTATACACTACATTTGTATTTTGAGAAATTAAAATCTGTACTTACCAGGAAAAATCAACAAATGGTAAAGCTGCTCTTATAGTTGATATGTTAGAAGTCAATAATGTCCAATGTTATTTTATTTAATCAGATGTTAATATTAAATTTATATTATTCAGTAGTTTTAATTAATATACATACTTCAGTTTTCTATTAAATATATTAAATTATTTCCATCTCCCATCATATTTACTCAAATTAAGATAGGTAATTTGATTTTTCACAATTGAATGTTTATTTTATATTGTTATTTTTAACATACTAACTGTGTGCATTGAGGACCCTGTTATCTTCTCATATTTAAGGATTATTCGAAAGTGGATATAACAAAAAAGAAAGAATATTTTTATGATTTATTGATGAAAGTAGTTTTAACCACAAACATTTGGCTGCATGACATATGAATTGGTACTGGCAATGTATGATGTGACTGTATCATTAAATTTAGGTGTAGTTTTATTTATATTTTAAATCTTCAAAAAGTGTTTGGATGTTCAAGCAAAGGATTATTAATAAACTAAAATGAAAGCTGATTTAAGAGTACGTTCAGAGTAAGTAAAATATATATATACATTATTTAATTTTATTTTTTTTTGAGACTTGTAACATATATTTAAGGGCATACAAATGTTAACAATATTTTAGAAGTTCGAATGTAGTATTGACTTTTTTTTAGTGTTATAATATTGATTAATTTAAAAGTTCTTATCTTGCTTTAGTTTAAAAAAAAAGCTTTTTTTTAAACTAAAACCTTCCAGCTTTTTTTTATTTTATGGTGTTAAATAAGGGATTTTAACTTAAGGGTTACACTGAAATGTTACTCAGTAAAAATGTTGTTAACGCTATTTTTCTAATGACCAAGTTTCTATCAAAAATATTCAAGGTTTTTTTTATGAATTGGTATAAGCTTTTTCTATTAAATTTGGTGTCAATTAGTAAAAGGTATGTGATGTTGTTCCAAAGTTTAAAGAGAGAATTTTTAAAAACATTTATTCATACATTAATTACTTATGTTATCTCTGTTGTAATCTCATCTTAACTGAATAGTATTAATCTATTTAGTGGATTATGAAATATTTCTTTATTTATTTGATTTTAATTTAACTAATGCAGACAAAATCTCCTCTTATCCATAATTCCAGAAAAGCTAAATAAAGTTAAAAGTATATTATATATGTGTGTATATGTAAATATTTTAGTTCCCTATAAAGTTAGGGTTGCCAGACTTCCCATAACCAGCATTTTAGTAAAGGACAAATAATAGAGATATTGTTGACCATAGAATGAATGATCGCGGATAGGGATGTTGTCAGATAAAATAACACCTGTGAAAGATGCACTTACCAGGATACAAAATGTTGAAGGCTGTGTCATTAATATTTTCAACAGTGTGCTCATCCAGACATTTAGTGCTAGTGTTAGAGCGACTTCCATCATTATTGTTGGATATGCCAAAAAAACTAGTCAAGATACTTATTAAAAAATGAAGTAAGCCCTGGCAGCAGATTGTTGACAGAATTACTTTTAAACGAAGATAGCTCATTCTGCAATTGCATCAGTCAATCGAAATCTTATTTTAACGAAATTCTTAATGTTTAAATATTTCATCCGCATTAGATTTAAAATAAGATTCCATTTTTAATAATTCATCTTTTTTCTTCTGATACTCCTTGAATTTACTTTAGTGATAAATTTTTTGTATGATGGATTTGCTTATATAACCACAATTTTTAAATTTGATAACAGTTAGTCTCGTAATGGGTTGAGAATTTATGACAAAACAAAGGTGGTTAAGCTAAGGCTGATGATATTCTGAAACCATAGCTGAAGGTATTCTGTTATTGTCAAATATATTGCATGATGAGTCGTTCTAAGTACTTATTAAATCTTGAATAAATGTAGAATTCTGTTATGCAGGGCTTGTCAACCTTTTTGTAATACGTATGCACAAAGGCGGTTTTAAAAATAATGGATTTTTATGCGGTTGCATATTTTGTATGTATGCAATTTTGAAATTACTGGTCAAATATCTTTAAAGATCACTGTTCTCAGATGCAATAAATCAAATTTTATAATGAGTATTTCTGCATTATTGATAAATTCATATTTTGATTATTTCAATTAGGTAAAAAAAAAAAAAAATTCCAGGTTATAATCGTAGGTTTATTTTCTATCAGTGATCAACAAAATAACACTACCTTTGGTAATTCTTAAAATAAAGAATCTTTTCCATTTCTTCATATTCCGTTTAAGTAACACACTGTTTTAATTTCAGTTTGTTTCTACTTTTTTTACAAGTATTAATATTTATTATTTGAAATGACAAAATAGCAGGTTAAAGTTAAAATTCAAATATAGAATCGACGCTTACATAACCCAATTTGATGGAGTTTTTAAATTTAAAGTGGTAGTATGTAACAAAAAAAGTTTATCAGGAGGTGCGGTCAAATAAGTACTATCTATTAAAATTATTTTTAATATCTTATATAAACAATATTATTTTAATAGATAGTACATATTTGACCGCACCCCTCCCCCCTCCCCGACTAACTCCTCATATTATAATTATGGTCAACCATCTCTACATCATTCAAAAAAGTTAATATTGAAAACAGTAAGCTTAAAATTTGTAGTACATATAAATTTGGTCCTGTTATATCTTTTGATGTAGAAATATAATTTTGTTATAAAAGTATTTCTAACGATAAGACTAGGTTATTCAGAAACAAATTTATTAATTTTAATACAGGACCATATATTTTATGAGAATAACCTCTTATTCTTTACTCTTGGTACAGAACACATCGTTTACGAATTCATTAACTTTTTTTTGTGTGTTGTCAGTTGAATTTTTAATTACAATTTTCATTTATTTTCTTTAATGAAAGAAAGAAAGAATTTAATTAACATTTAGATCTTTATATAACATTAGTCTAAGTATGTCTGTGTATTGTAGTTGGTAGTACATCATTGTTAAGTAATAAGCTTTTTGAGGTATTCAGTTTTTCGATTATCATAAATGATTTCAACTTTATCAATTTTTATTATTATTATTCTACCTCATAAGAGTTAAAGTAAATAATTTTGTGGTTAATTTCGACTATTTCATAAAAAAAAAATCCAATTGACCTAAAGTATTAAAATGTTTGTAATTTTTTCAGTACGTGACGTCAAAAGTAAATTTATTTGTTCTAAACTCTATATCTTTATTCAATTTTATTTCAAAATTATGTGAATTTAAGATGATTTATGATAATGGTGGAATGAAATGTACTGATCTCCAGAAGGTGTGACTCTAACAAATGTGTGTTGGACTCCACATCAAACAAGTACAGTGGAAATTTCCATATATCAAACTCTTGTCACATATCTCTATATATAACATTTTTAATTTTAAAAATGTTCTGTGTATAAGGAGACTTATGTAGTCCAGTTAGATAATCCTGTAGCAACATATCAGAATACTGCTTTAAGTTTTTATTTGTTATATTATAATATTTTTTACTAATGTATGAGAATTATATTTTATGATGAAAAGGGGTCTGTTACTGTTAATTGTTAATAATATGATTTGAGAATGATTGCTCAAAACGGTAACAACATAATGTATTTGGGTTTTTTACTACTAAAGTAAAACTATTCAGAAAGACTAGTTTGCCAAAAATTGTAGCAAATTCAATTACTATATATCAAACAAAAAGTCACTAATTCAGGAAAAATCTAAATAAAAAGTGATAGTAATGTAATGCATTTGATGTTCTAGAGAATAGCATGCATTTTACGTGTACTTGTGTAATTTCTATAGGTAATTGTAATTATTATCAAAGAACATTCTATGGCCATGTATAAAATAGTCTTTAAATTCTTTGTTAAAATTTTTATTTAGGGCTTTCCCTTCGATGATGGTTTAGAGAGGGAAGGAAGTGCTGGGGGTAGCAGCTCTAATCTTCAATCCCATCTCGCTGATCTAGCTGCTAGGCATCCGGAAATAGCCGAATCATTTGTTGGCTTTCTTTCTGACGAAATTGGAAGAAACACTAAAGAAAATCAAGAAAAAAGTGATATAAAAACAGAACCACCACAAACCAGTGAGGTATATAATGCATATATGTGTGTTTATATATATTTGTTTATTCGTTTTATACGAAGTTTCTGATTATTAAATCCATCAGTAATATATCAATTGCTAAGAAAAGATAACTCATAACTATCAAAAACTCAGATTTAATGTTATGACATCTTAAATTGCTTACATCTAAGCCACATTGACTTGGAAAAACATTGTATTTAATACAAGGCTGATATATGTGAAAAACATATACAATATATACTGATTTTATTGGGTTGAGGAAAAAATAATTTTTTTTTTTCATGTTTTTCAAAGCGAATTTATTTATATAAATTTCAAACATCAATCGATAATATATGTGCCATTTTGATCGATGACCTTTTTCCTCTTTTCTGGTAAAACCATAAGTCTGTCACAGTAAAAGTTCCGACATTTCTGGACAAAAAACTGAACCGAGTGATTTTCACAATTCTCTTTTGATTCTTGCTTTAGACCATTAGACCAGTCAGACGGGGCAAGGTCCGTCCGGGCTATATAATGGATTTCGCATCAAAATTTCGCAGGCAAACTCTCATTCTTTGCCGGTTCATTAAAGATGTGTGGTCTAGCATTGTCATGATAAAAGGCAACGTCTTTAGATCAATTCTGGTTGTTTTTCTTGAATCACCTGCTTCAATTGTACTAGCTGTTCACAGTAAAGCCGGAAATCATGAACAATTTGCATCAATCCAGGCTTTGCTACGGTTTGAAAAGCTTCTCTGGGCTCTGACCATAATCTCTTTCACACATTATTGTTGTACGTGGTCTCCTTTTCATCACCCCTATCATTTGTTTTAAAAATTGCTCAATTTCATTTCGTTTCAGCTGGGATTCACAAATGTAAACTCTGTCTATTAAATTTTTCACTGTTAATTTATGTAGTGGTTCAAAACTGTTTTCTGATCAATGTTTAGTTCTAAAGCGATATGAGACAAAATATGTTGGTCTATCTTGATTTTTTTGAAGAATTTCATTGAGTTTTTCTACAACTGGCAAAAATTCTCGAATATTATCCTGAAGAAACTTAAGTGTCTACGCTGGATGCATTCTAGGAGAATATCAGTGCAGGTTCCGTAAAGGAAAGGGAACAGTCTCTAACAAATTTTTGCAGTGAGACAAACATTAGAAAAGTGTTGCAAGCACTTAAGTACAATTCATGTTCTTTTCATTGATTATCGCCATGACTTTGACAGCATTAATTGGACCAACTTGATTTGAAACAATAATAGAATACAACATTCCAAAAAATATAATAAGATTGATCCAGATGTCTCTAAGCAATAGCAATGCCAAAGTTGTAGTGTGAGTAGTACATTTACAATGTACAAGGTCCCTTGAGTCTAAATAACCCAATCCTGAAATGGTGTGTGAATGAACAGTCAAGCTCAAAAACAAAAAATCTAGGAAACAGAAATTGCATATTTAAGGTTTAGATGGCCGCAGTACACTCGTGCCGGTTTAAAAAAACAAAAACAGGTTTGTACATGCCTGGAATCTTGCAACTTTTTTGTTAAAGTCGGTAACCCAGAAGTGGCACTTTATATCATTGATTTAACACATTTCTACGACTCTAAAATCGCTCTAATGATTTTGATTAAACTCGTTATGCTAATGTACATTTAAATATTTTTTACTTTTACTTATCTATACATGTAATATATAGTAAGAGAAAGTATTGAGATCGTGAAAATATTGAAGTTTTATATATAAAATGTTCTATGGACTTGTGGCCTTTCTAATGCACTACAGAATGTTTTTATTGAATAATGATTAGATATAAAAGACTTTTAAGTCACCTATTGGAACAAAATGTAATTACTTTTTCCTCAACCCATTATATCTTTCCATTATAATTGTAAGTAAATAACAGTTAAGAAACTGAAAAATTACATATTACATTTTGATATGACTCCAAAGGAGTTTTTCTGTACTTCAGATTTCTATTAATAGCCATGCAAAGAAAAAATAAATTAGACAATTTTAACATTTTCATTTGTTTTTAAATTTATGTGTAGACTAAATCAGTGAACAGTTAAGCTAACAGTCAATAACAATATTAAAGCTATGTTTAGAAGTGGATAATTTGAATGGAGGTGATTAGGAAAAGTCTCATGCACTCGTTTGTTTCTGATCTTACAGTTTCTAACAATGACTAATCTTTATTTCTCGTTAGATAATTAACAAATTCATTCAGAATTTATATTTATCTATCTTGTATTACCAATTACAATGTGAAGTGGTTAATTATTTTAAATAAACAAAATTAAAGATACTTTAATTTGAAGAAAGAACGAAATTTTGCATATTCGGTATTTAAGCCCTGTTAGACTATTTCTATAAAGATGGCACCTGACTGATATTAAAAACCACTATATTTAATATTGATATGAGATTATTCAAAATTGTTGCAGCTGTTTTCGATAAAGTTGTAAAAATTAACTATAGATTTCAATCATATAAAGTATCATTTCCAGTGGATTGATTTCAGCAAAAATGTTGCTGTAACATCCCACGAATAGGCCTACCTTAAATATTGAGTGACTTGAGCATCGATTCTTTTGCCAGGATATAGAGGTTAAAGTGGCTGCATGCGTCACTTGCTTAGAATGAATGAAGGAAGGATGGCAAGAAGAGTATACAAGAACCATCCTACAGAGTTAGAGGTAGGCCAAAGGGTAGATAGCGCGTCAATTTCCTGCAAGGTCTCAGGAAACTGAGAATAAGTTTATCAAATGCTCAAGGAACTTGGAGATCGAGGAGGCCAGGGATCGCTTTAAGCATTTATCACACAAGGAAAAGAATAGGTGTCGAAATATATTTGCCAATTTCCAATTGAAACTTTTCGCAGAGACTGTGATGTAAAAGAAAAAATATTAAAACAAATCTATAAAGGAAAGCCTAGAAATATTATACACTTGGTCCATAGCTGGCCTAAGTCATGATAAATAAATTAATAATATTCAAATTCTCACTTAGCGCTTCTGTGAGGTTGAAGCTTTGATATATTTTTGCATTGAATTCTTTTGAATTAATGTGGTTTTATGTATGAAATGTTAAGTCAATTATAAAAGAAGTTACTTAATTAAAGTTAAACTTTCTATATTTCTGGCCACTATTGGGTTTTGTTTTTCATCTTTTTTTTTTTTTACTATAATATCAATGATATATTTTTTACCAGAACTGTCTTAATGCTGCTACAGCCTAAGATAATTTAATTATGCACCTAAAATTACAATTACTCATTTTTACTCACGATTGATTCTTTTTACCCCACAGGTGGGAATGTTTTGTTTTTTTTTAATTTAATGTGGCAAAAGCTTATGTTTACAGTTCCTGTTTATTATTAGCAATTAAGATCAATCAAATCTAAAAATAAGTCCCATTTATATACTACTTGAATCTACATATTTAAAATTTATTGACAAATATTTCCTGTCATTTAATAGAGTCAAAACTTATTGTAATAAATACAATTAATATTAATATAAATAAACCATAAATTCAATTATGATTGGTTTTTGTGAAAATGAGATAGCATAAAAAGATTTTTTAAAATCTTGCCGTTCTGAGTTCTCGATGTACAAGAGTACATGCCAAAAAAATTGACAAAACAATTCGTTTGTTGGTTTGATTGGTTGTTGTGAAAATGAGATAGCATAAAAAGATTTTTTAAAATCTTGCCGTTCTGAGTTCTCTCGATGTACAAGAGTACATGCCAAAAAAATTGACAAAACAATTCTTTTGTTGGTTTGATTGGTTGTTGTGAAAATGAGATAGCATAAAAAGATTTTTAAAAATCTTGCCGTTCTGAGTTCTCTCGATGTACAAGAGTACACACCAAAAAAATTGACAAAACAATTCTTTTGTTGGTTTGAGGATCAGGTTAGGGCTGTATAGCATGGCATTGTTTTAAAGTACTGTGTATTTATATTGAAAGTGATCTTTAAGGGTTAGAAAAACATACGGTAAAAATGACTAAATAATACAAAATATATTTAAATATTAACCGTTCCTACTGCAGCAGAAATTAATTTTACTTTAAGCAGGATGGTAATTTATATTTTTTAATTTTATAATAATTTATTGTTAATATTATGATTTCAGATAAATAAGCCTACTAAACCTGCACAAACCACAACACAAGGTACTCAAACTGGAAGTTTAGAAAGTGATATTAAACTGCGTAACACTGTTCCTGACATGCAGTCATCTACTCAGAACTCTACGGAGGCAAACTGTGATGACCGTTCACAAAGATCACAGTCTGCACCACCCCAGACGACTTCTAACTCTTCACTTAATAAGCAGGTAGGCAGTTATGTTGTTTATGTATTTACCGAAATTAAATTGTTGTAATAATGATTATTTATATAAATTATTGTCAGTACACTTGCAACTCCTCTTAACTTCAGAGCGTTCACTTTAAAAAAGTTTACCACACTCTTTTTATTTCAATTATCTATAAGTTAATTAAAAACATTAATAAAAAATATTTTCTATGTTTTGTATCCAATTACGTAAATTTAGGGCTGAAGGCTTACAGGTTACAGGTTTTGTCACTGAATGGGAATGGGACTTTTTTGTGCTGCTTATGTGACAAACAAAATAAATGCTCTTATATTTACACGTAATAAAATATATTGTCATATTCACATAATCTTAAGAACAAATATTTTTAATTATTATTAAACAGCATTTGAACAGTCACATTGTGGCGGTAATTTTCCTTTGAATTTGTTGATGTTATTTGGTTTTTCTATGATAAAAATACCATCTATCTTTACGGGGGCCCGGTCGGAGAAACATGTATAGGATGAGGATGCCTGGTATGAAGGGCATGGATTTCCAAATCTATTAATTTTGACAAATTAAATATCTAATATAAATTTGTGTAATAATAAATATCTAATCTATAATATAATAATAAATATCAAATCTATTAATTTTTACAAATTAAATATCTAATATAAATTTGTGTAATAATAAATATGTGATATATAAAGAAGAATATCTCTTCATAATTTTATGGAAATATTATTGTTCATTATCACTCCTGTAATTACAAGTGTATGCATTTTTAATTTAGTGAATTTAGAATAGTATTTTTGCCGTAATATTAATATTTAATTTTTAATTTAAAAAATGTGTACATACTTTTATGTGAATATAACAATATTCTTTACTACGCCTGTAAATACAACAACTATATTCGTATTTACAGGAGTGAATACGATTGCAAATATATGTATTTAGACTTGTAATATTAAATAATGAAGAATATTTATCCATAATTTTATGTGAATATAATAATATTCTATATCACATATTTAAATGCAATTTTGGAAGAATGATATAAATATGCCCAACTCTGATGTGTAAGAGTAGGTTTTACTCGATTGAGTCTCTCAGTCTGCCGTTTATATCGGGCAGACCTGAAGGAAACTAACAAACAAGTATTAAAGAATATTTCCTTGGATTAGGCCATACATCTCATTTCAAGAACCATTTTGAAAATTTTTCATTCCCATATAAACATAGTACAGTAGAATAGAACTCATACACGCTGCATTTAATTAAAGGGAAAAGAATGGATTTTCTTGAGGGAAAAAAACCAAAAAAAAAAACCTAAAGATTAATGTATTATGCTCGAATGCCATTAATACTCAATTTTGAGAATTCTGCGCTCATTAAATCAGTAGTGGTTAACAAAAACAAGATGTAATAGTAAGAGAGTGGGGAAAATCCATCTGGACAATAGTTTTATTTTAATTTTTACCCCTCATCTGACAAGTAGAAGAGGAGGACCATAATAAACTATAGGATAATTAGTGTTTATTTAATGAATTTAGTTGTTAAGTTTTCAATCATTGTGGGGAAAAAACGCAAATAATCCATGATTGTAAAAAAAAAGCAGAACTTTAATTTTATTTGTTAAAAATGTTTCTAGATTAATAATGACCAGTAACCTAACCTTGTCATGAAGAGGGGTGTTTCCCAAATCCCAAACACTGCTATATTTTTTTCGATTTGTCCCCAGTTTGACCATGAAGGAGCACGTTTTCAAAAAAACATTCTGTAAAGTTTTAAACTAGATTAAATATGCTACAATTTAACACCACAACTGGCTCAGTAAATCAAATAGTTAACGAGATACAGGTTTTCAAATTTTAGAAAAACTTCAAACTTGAAAATTTTAAGCTATTTTTCTTATTTGATCACATGCACTTGTATTTATATCTTCAATAACCTGTCTTATATGATTCAATGAAATAAGTTTTTATTTATTTTAACTCTTTGAAGGAGAGGAGAGATCACTTTTCCGCCAATTTTTAAAGAACTGTTTCAAATAAATTAAAAATTAATCAGTTACATAGAAAGATAAATGTATTCTCTAGATGTTATATTTCAGTGTGCTTTTGGCTGTTTAATTACAAATGACGCTTTATTTCGAAAATTTGTCTCAGTGTTTGACAAATTTGGTAAAAATCAGCATTGGATGACAGTGGGCTTATACCTTACCGCGTAACCAAATTATAAAGTTTATGTACTCATTTGACGCAAAATTTAATGTTCTTGAATTTATTAAAGAATACATTTTTCGCTTTGATTCATCGTTTAGGAGTTATAGGTGAAAAAAAAAAATCTGTCTTTTTTGGCTGTAAAAGTTTTCCCTTGGTGGCCTGCATTAGCAATTTTGTTTTTTACATGCCTAAACGTATATATACAAGTTAAAAAAATAAAATCTTTTCTCACATTTTTCGCAATGAATTTCCCGTTTAGAGTAAATTTGAGGAAATTACTGGCCTAATATTCTTTAAATCTGTCACCAGTTTTGAAAGTAGCCGCTCTGGAATGGCATACTAGGTTCTTTTTACTCAAAATAACATACACTTTCGTAATTTACAATCAAACCTTCGCCTGCGATCAGGTCGATTTTTGGGCCTATGAATAAAGGTTTAAATTTTGCCAGTAGGAACATCACTTAAATTAATAATAAAGAATGTTGAAATTGGAGTTAATCATTCTGTCAACCGAAGGGCTCATGCGTAGAGAGATTTGAAATTATAACTGAATATTTAACTTATAAATGATTATCGATTGTAGGGCTATTAGTTATTAAACTGTTATTTTCCATTGTAAACTTTTCCTTGTCTGCCATGGATAGATCAAAAGTTGTCACAATAATTGTAACTGGATAATGTTGGGATTTCACAAAGGGAAAATTCATCAAATTATTCACTAATTTAATTTTGTAAAAAGTTACTTCATCGATCGTTTGTTGTTATAAATGGCGAATAGATACCTAATTATTTAAATATAATATCAGATCTAGAGTTATTAAACTACATTGATTGTACAGTGATTGTATTTAAGGTTATAAGCACATCCATGAAATATTTTTATATTTCGCTTCTTCTTTCACATATGTACAATGAAATAGTATTTTAAACAATGGCATTGGCTTGATTTGTTGGATTTTAAATACTTTTTTTTCAAACTTGGAAACATGTGATTTACGTTAAACAATATTAGTGTTCTGAAATTATTATTATTTTTTTTTTTTTCGTCACTCTCCGTTACCTTCTACAACTTTATTTATTTGATATTATTTTTTCTAAAATTATCCGCTTTCCAACGATATATTATACGTATCTGACTATTGTTTCCGGAGATTCATTTTCAACCTGTATAAGCATTTTTCCTTCTTTCTCCAGTTTCCAGTTATCATATTCTTTCAAACTTCATATCTAGCCATTTTTTATAGTTACTGTCAATAAAAGATAGTTCATTTTTTTAATAAACCATATTAAAGGTACTTTAGAGGAAGACGTATATGAACATTGTGCATTTAAGCCCTCTAAAGTGACATCAATGGGAATAATACCTAAATGATATTAAATACCACTTAATTATACAATGATACACCGAGTTTAATCAAAATCGTTAGAGCCGTTTTTGAGAAAATTGTAAAAATGTGTTTTACCATTGATAAAAGGTGGCACTTCCGGTTAGCCAATATTAGGAAAAAGTTGCTGTCACATCTAAGGCATATACCTATCTTATATACGTATTATCAGTTTCGGACGATTTTTCGTTTTTGAGCTAGACTATTCACAGACACATAGACCATTCAGCTGGACTTTGTTATTTGGACTCAGGAGACCTGAAGACTTGTATTTCCATTGAAAATTCAGATTCAAAAATTTTCACATGATTTGTGAATGATTGTCAATGGAAATAAAAAAATATATATAAATGAAAATTTTTTATTTGTATTATTGCAATACAAATTTATATTAAAAGTTTTAAGGACGCTAAACACAAATCGTCTTAATTTTTCATGACAAAAATTTATTTGCCTTACATTACTAAAGATGTCTCATGGTTTACATAATTTATTATACATTTGAATTAATTTAATATTTTCACCAATGTTTTTGTCTTATTTTATCAAAAAAATTATAATATAAATGTATAATCTATAAATTCATGTAGAGCGAAGACAGAAATAATAATATAAAAAAAATTCTCAACCCATAGGGTGCATTGGCTTGAACCTTCGAACAGGTACATAATTTTTGTTAGTATTATAAATATATTTTATTAAATGGCAAACCCAAGTTTGCCTTTTTGCCCAACATCCCCTTGTTAGATATAAATGGGCTGCGGTTGTTGATTCCAGCATGGATCCACAAAGAAATGTTATTGTGATTTAAATTAAAATGCACTACTGCCTCAGTAATTGTTTGAAGTTCACTTACCTCTGAAAAGGTTTAGATATAGTTTGGGTATATTTTTTTATCTATAGCTTTTATTTAGCTGCTTAAATGTTTTAGTTTAAACTTTAATTAATTGTATTTACTTTTATCTATTTATTTTGTCTTATTGCAGAAAGAAGAAGGAATAAGGCATATTCCAATTAGGACCGATGTCCCCCCATCAGGACAGCAGATTCCTGCACGACCTCAGCAGCAATTTCAGAATCCTCCTTTTACTCAGCAACATTTTCAACAAAACCCTCATCAACAGCATTCGCCTGATCCGAGAAATCAAGAAGAAAAAGGTCCTACTATTCGACATATCCCGATATTTGTGGAAGGTAGGGATGAACCTATTCTGCCAAAGGATGCAGCTCCTGCTGGCATGAAGAGAGGTGGCTGTCAGGGAAAGGCAGAATCTAATTCTGGTAAAAGAGGAGCTCAGCCTGAAGAAAAACGTCAACAGCAACAACAAACAACTGAACCGCCTCCACAACCACAACAGGCTCAACAACCTCAACCTCAACCTCCTTCAAAACCTGACCCTTTGGCTCAGGTTGCTGATGTTAGTAATTGTATCCTGCTAATTTTTGTCAGGACCACACCAGAGCAAACATTGGAGAGTGATCTGAATTTTCTGTTTTTTAATTACCTACTTGATATAACAAGTGTTAAAAACATCCATTATCCACTGTTGCTTTTGGTGTGGACTTGCTACCCTAGAACATTCTTAGTGCTGGCAACACGAAACAACTTGTATGTATAGTTATGAATTATTTTTAGATTCTGAAAGAAGTAGAAGAACTTTCTACAAGAGTTAATGAATGGAAAGGGACTACTCGCAGTGAGAAGGAATATATTTATTTAGATGAAATGTTAACAAGGAATTTATTGAAACTTGACAACATAGAAACTGAGGGTCGCGAAGAAGTAAGAACCGCTAGGAAAGATGTCATCAGGAGGATACAGGCTGCCATTTCTATTTTAGAGTCAAAATCTGCGGAGAGCTCTGACCAAAATCAAATCCAGGTAAACTTTAAGTTTATATGTTTTTTTGGATCATTTAAGTTTATATTGTTATACTTACTGAATTTGTAATTTAATTTTTTTTTTTTTTTTCTTAATGCTACTAGGTAAGTAAAGTATTATAATCTGGTCAAATTTTCTATGTAAAGTTTTCTTTGGAACCCTTCAGAGATGGGCAAATGCTATTCTAAGAAATGAGTATTAAGTATTTTACTCAAATACTGACTTTTGAATAGCAAAGAATTTAATTACTACTTCAGTTGATGTCAAACGATTAACTGAAGTAGTGTTTGAATGGTGATTCAATTTGAGTAAAATACTTGGTACTCGGTACTCGGAGTAGCCATTGATCTTTGTGTCTGTTTCACAATTGTTTCTTAATCTTCTAACACCTAATTAAGGGCTTAGAATAAACATTTTGCACATAACATTCAGTGCACTCTTATATTGATCCAAAAAACCTGAGTCGTTATGGAATGGATGGTGACCTATCTGATAAGCCATCTTGTTAAAAATGATTTTAAGCAAAGCAGGGAGAGAGGTTAGATTTTATGTTTAGTACTATCTAAATATCAATGCATAGGAGCTAACAATTTTTTACTTTCCTACCTATACTAGGTAATGAAAGTATTGCGATCGGGTCAAATTTCCGATATGGGGTTTTCGACAGATCCATACGTTTTAGAGCCCCTGGAGTCCTAAAAACTATATAAAAATCGTTCATTTCGGACAACTATTAACGAAGTTACAGCCATTCAATTTCAACACCATTTTCACAGACTAGTACACTAAACCAACTTACACAGGCAGACTTCTGAATTTCCATTCCAAACATCCTTATCACCAAAAAATTAATGATGCTAAAAAATTCATTTACCAAAGTCTATCCCTCTCCGATTTCCAATTTCATGTAACCAATATTCAATGTTTAAAACAGGTCCTTTCAGGTAATAATTTTCCTCTCTATGTCATCAACAAACTTATAAAAGACCACAAAAATTGCTCGATCTCCACTGTTTCTCCACAACCCATTTCGGCCTCTATATACAGATCTCTACCTTATATTCCTAATCTTTCTGACAACATGAACAAAGTTTTACGATCTATCAACCCTAACTTACGAATTGCCTTTAAATCTCACAACACACTTTCTAATTTGCTCTCATCCCTTAAAGATACGACTTACCTTTAAATCTCACAACACACTTTCTAATTTGCTCGAATCCCTTAAAGATCCTGTTCCTCTTTCATATTGTTTACCGTATTCCGTGTTCTACCCCTAATAGCTTTTCATCTTATATTGGTGAAACCAAAAATCTTCTAAAAGACCGCATCACCCAACATAAATATTCTGCATCTTCTTGTAATTTTACCGCCTCCAAATTATCCAAACACTCTCTCTCCCTAAACCATACATTTGATTTTGACAAAACTTCCATCCTTGCCTCCGTTCCTAACCATGACAAACGACTCATCTCTGAAACCCTCCACATCCAGCTCCAACCAAAGACAGTGAATCTAAAAACAGACAAATAAAACTTATCCTTGGTCTTTTTCCAAATTCTGAATTCATTAAAACATCCATAGCAGCTCTTCCCTATCCTCGATATGCTTCCTCTCAGTTCTCCATCCATATTTTTTTTAAAACTTCTTTTTTGTTTTCTTTAATCTTAACTTTCACGTAAATTATCAGTTATATTCCATTATTACTTAATATTTATTATCTCTGCATTTTATTACTCTCCTTAATTTATTCTATATCATATTATTATACTATATTATCCTTAATTTATACTTGATTACATTATACTTCCTCTTTAATTTTAATTTTTTTTCGTTTTCTTTAATCACACGTTTTACATAGATCAGTAATACTCCATTATTATGTAATGTTTGTTACCTCTACATTATACTATCTCCTTAATTCCTTTATAAAAGACTCTCATTTCTGTTTAACTTAATTAATTATTCGTTTTCTTTGATCTCACGTTACACGTAGATTATTTACTCTCCATTATTACTTAATATTTATTATCTCTACATTATACTATCTCCTTAATTTATTTTATATTATATTATACCGTATTATCCTTAATTTATACTATATTACATTATACTACCTCTTTAATTTTAATTCTTTTTCTTTAATCTCACGTTTTGCGTTTATTTCATTAATACTCCATTATTATTTAATATTTATTATATCTGTTTTATACTATCTCCGGATACCTTATTTCCATTCTCTTTCAATTAAACATTTATTTAACAACTCATTGAATTTATCTATAATTAACCTCTCGTCCATTATATACGCTTGGGTGTTTAAGTTCACATATTTTAGTTAACTGTTACAGATAGCGCTATAAGCTCTGCTCTTTCTTACCAATATACGTTTATCTTTCTTATCTTAGATTTCTCCTCTTTTCCTTTTTCCCTTCATTCTCTTTTCCTTATCACCATCTCTATTTTTTGTATATTGATACATATGCTCATTTATCTTTTTTTCATTATTTTAACTTTTTATACTCTTATACGTAGTCTGTATATTTTGATAGATTTTACAATATCTCAATTTTTAATTTATATCTTTTATTTCCTTATATAACTTCATATTCCTTTTCTCTGTTTCACAGTTTATTCTATGATTATCTCACTTCCTTTTAGCGTACTATTACATCATATTAAGCAACTATGTCACCCCATTTATTTATTTTTTGTCTACACTGACGTTTATTTTCTTATACATTTCTCTACTTTACGTTGTTAATTCATTTTTCATTTCTCATGTTACCTTATTTTGATTATGTTTATTTCATTAGTCGCTACTTTGTTGCCGTTATTATTTATTTCTTAGTTCGCTGTTACTGTTATTATTCTACCTACTTTATTTTACTTTAAGTTTATTCTACCTACATTTTTTAGTCTGTACCTTTCACCTTTTTAATTTTAATTCTTTATTATTCAATGCTTATGGTTTATTATACGTATTGTTGTCTGTTTTTCTTCTCAGACCTGATGAAGGCCTGAACTTTGGGCCGAAACGTCGGCAAAAATAAATATAATTATTTTTTTTTACTGATCACCCTAACCATTCTTTTCTTCAATTATCCACTGCAGTCAACCATCAGTCCACAAAAAATTGACTAAAAATAGTAGATTCATTTTTTTTTTTTCTTTTGCCATAGCCTTGGCACCAGGCGAGCACTCTATTGCAATAGTTATAAAATTGTATTTTTCTAAAGACTAGTGCCAAAACAGCTCCAATCTTTGGTTTTTTCCTTTATATTTGATGTAAATTTTAAATTATTATAAATTTTATCTTATTTGTTATTTTCTTCATATAACTTCCATACTTTATAATTTTTATGTATTATATCTTTATCTTGCATGTTCAATGGATACCTAATTTTCATATCACATTGCTGCTTCATTTTCATAACCTCACGTATTTCCATCTATATTTATTCTTTCTTGCTATAGTGGTTTTATATTGTTTATTCTTGATAAATACAACTTAAGTTGAAACATCAATTCACATTACAACCCTATTATACTTTTTGTTTCTTTTGTGACTCCAACCCCTACCTATCCTGCAACATGATTTAATTGTCTTTACATACACTCTTTATTCTAGTTTTCATTAAGACCTCCCATACCTCAGTTCATCAGGTCTCGCAAGATGAATTTCTGTTATTTTTAGTATTATTTGAAATGGTGGTTGTTAAAATGAACTTATTCATATTTTTGAGAAAAAGAACAAAAAAAAGATTCCTGAGTTTTGTTGAGTTCATTATTTGACTTCGTTGATGCGTACTTACATACTTCGCATGACTCTACAACACATCACCGTGTCTAGGCCTCCTTAATGAGCCACTGCCAGGTGTCTCTGTCAAATGCTGCTGCTATCCAGTTGCAGACTCCACGCCTACCAGCCGCCCTTCTTTGTCCGTGAATGACCTCCAAAAGCAGTTTCTTCCTCGATATCTGCTCACTACTCATCCTCTTCTTTGATGAACAAATGAAATTTTTATCATTCATTTTTTTGTAATATTTTACTCCTGAGCATAAGCTTTTTATTTTGGTTAGGTAACTTTTTATGTTTTCTTAAGAAAAATATGTAGTTTCTAGTGACCTGAATTGGTGTACATACTGCAATTTTTATAGTTCCATTTTTCTCCAAATATTACTCAAGGCAATATTATGATACGGAAAAACCTACTTCTCCATTGGTTTTTTAAAGTGTTTGGTTTCAAATAAAGCGTCTTTTTTAAAATATACAATCCACCCTGTAAAATAATCGATGATTATGTGAGTATAAAAAGGAGTAAAAACATTATATGTTTAATCTTTGCTATAAGTTCACCTATTTTTTTAGGTCTATAGATTCGGTTTAATAATTATATAATCCAGAATTATTATAATAGTGAAATAAATAATTTTGTGTTTTTTAACTTGCCTTAGTCATTTAAATTTATGACAAATTCAGGACATTGTATGATTTTTATATTGTGACAAAATTGCTGATTTTAGGTTAGGAATACAAAATTTTCAGTTAGGAAATTTGATTTAGCCTTTGTGAACTTTACCATTATAAAACCCTTAAGTTTTTAATAATATTTGATATCTGTATATAATATAAAGATTTTTTAATATCATACAATAAGTAAACTTGCAGCAATGCTACTAACAGTTGAGTGTTAAAATGTTCCTAAGTCACCGACTCATGTTCCTTTGTACTCCCACTAAAAATGATTAAAAAAGTGGCTTAGAGGGAAGGAGAAAGAAAAGTAAAGTGACTTGGGTTCCTTTTAACAATCATCCTGTCATTTAATGTCTTAGATAATTTAATAAACTCAAATTGTTTAAATATTTTTGTTTGTTCTAGGATAAATGTAAAATGATGGTGTCAAAATATTTTGTTAACAATTAATTGTCATTTGTTAATAATTATAATTATCGGGATTGGACTTCTGATACCTGACTCCATATGTGTCTAACTTGGC